TTTAATATGTTTTGTCGTATCTTAAAAATTAAATATGCATATTTTATAATGATACACTGAAAAATAAATTTTTCCTTAAAGGTGATGCTGTTGTTCCACGTAAAGGAAAAATGGCTGGTCTAAAAATATTCCACCGATTTCATTTTTCCAATTCCTTGAAAAGAATGTCTGTTATTGCTGGATTCAATCCACCTGGATCATCTGATACTTCGTATATAGCTGCAGTTAAAGGAGCTCCTGAAATCTTAAAACCAATGGTATTAATTTTGTAGTATTTATTAATTTTCATGAAAATCTCTCAAAATATGTAGACTTCTTTATATTGTGTAAATTTGCTGCTGTTGCTGAGTCTTATTATGTAGAATTTGAAGTAATATTTTTTGAATAAGTCTGATATGCAGGTTAATTTATCTAAAATAAAAGTTTTGCTCATTTTTTCTGATTCACAGTCCCTATCTCAGTCTGATTTACAATTTCTTAGTGATAATATATGTACATATATATATATATATATAGAGAGAGAGAGAGAGTGTTTTTTTTTTTTTGTTCAAATAAATTGTGAAACTAATTTCTTGCGGTACCCTTGGAAAATCCCGTCGGCCACAAGAGACAGCACCAATCACGCCGAACTAAAAAAAACATTTACTAAATACAAGGAAAAAAACTTTAGATTCTTATTTTTCTTTCAAATTTATTATATTATAATTTATTTATATTTAATTTTTCATTAAAAATTTCCATTATTTTTTATTAAGGAGATCTATTGTAAAAGCAATTATTTTCGCTAGGTTTTAATATTCGCGAGAAAATATATAAGTCATGCAAAATACTTTTTTTTTTTTGCCTCAAATAATAATAAAAAATCAGTACTCTTCTGCAGTAGGCAGGTCCCAAATTTTAATCATTCCCCCCCCCTGAAAATGCCTGCTAGAGGGGGAAAAAAGGGGAGTCTTTACTCAAGAGTAATAACTAACACGTGTAATCAAGGTTACACCAATACCAGCGTGTTTGAAGAAGACTTTTTCATTTTTTGGTAAAAATCCCATAGTTTGGCATCTGTTCTTTAATAGGCAAAAATGGTTTTCGGTAAGTACCTTTCTTGCAATAATCTGTGTTTCTATCTTATATTTTATTAAAAAAGTTTTATTTTTTACATTTAAGTCTTTGTTCATGGTAAAGTTGCTTCACTGCATTGTAGTTTTTTTTTCACATCAGAAATGAAAGTAGTATTCTATTTTTTTTTTTTTTTTTTTTTTTTTTTTTTTGAAAAAGGTGTTATGGTATGTATTAACATTTTTGTATTATGAAGCTTTGTTGCATATTGGATAACTCTAATATCTTTTCAGTGTAACTTCATTTTTTATTTGTCTTTATCTGAAGGGAAATATTTTAGAAATAAATTTAATGGGATGGAATTACACGAATATGAAATTTTATTTGGCAAAAAAGCAAGTTGAGACTGATGTGGGTTTTGAATAAAACTCTGTTAATTTCAAGAGTGATCAGAGATATATCCCTCTTCACCAGAAACCTCTTCTCTTTTTTGGAGGGGAGGGATAAAAGTCATTTTGTTACTTGGAGTAGAGGGTTCTATGTTATATAGCTTATCATAACTTTCATCATTTATTAAAATTAAAGTAGTTAAACTATATTTAATTATAAAAAAATTAATACATATTTTATTCTTTACAATTAGTTAATTGTCATATAAGTTTGCTTTTTTTTTTTTTTCAGAATGTTAATCTACTGTCCAGATGGGTTTTTATTTGGATTATGTATCATCATATTCTATTACATTAATGAATATTTTAAAATTTAGCATATTTGTTTTTTAAATTTATTTCATTGTTTTTGTACATTTTTTTTTAATTTAAAGGTTTTATTTTTAGTTTTCTGAAGTTCCTTCAAACTATGATGACACATATACTGAGATGTCTAGACGAGGTGCTCGTATATTAGCTTTAGGTCGAAGAGATTTGGGTATTTTATCTCATCAAGAGGTATGTAATAGTATTTGAAGTTTTGTGTTTTTATATAACAGTATATGTTTAAAAATATGTAAAGTTTCAGCTTTAAGAAAAAAAAGAAAAGTATTTAAACCAAGAATTATTCATATTTGCCCAATTTTATTATTTTAAAATATTTGTGTGATCTAACGATTCTACTGATATTATAGATCTTATTAAATTACAGTGAAGCTTTGATTTCATGAATCTTTTCAGACCTGTGTTTTAAGTGTTAAATATGGTATATATTCATGGGCTAGACCAAAAATCTGAAACATCTGTGATAGTTTTATAGATAGAAGGTTATCTGTTTTTCCATTGGTATTTTTGCAAAATCTATAATCTATAAGGCATTTTCACATCATTATTTCCCAATATGCTTATACTATAAAAATTTATAGATTTGATAAACTCATGAACAAATTAATGATGTTGGTTAATTAAGAAAAGAGGAGAGTAACTTTGAAATAATGTAATTAGATATATGTCATCATCATCATATTAATATTATTGATTTAAAATGAAATAATGAATTATTGAAAGTTTTTTTGTACTATCTTATAATTGAAATGAACATCATTTCAGAATTTCATAGTTGGTGTTTTATTAAACTGGCCTGATAAGATTCCGAATGAGAAGTCGGGTATTTTTATATTTCCTGATAATTTTCAAATAATTTCAAGGGTTCCATTTTTTAAATGGAGGAAAAAAACCATGCTCCAACTTTTTCATTAAAATTTTTAATGACTAAAATTTGTCACTACTGTTCCAGCTGAAACTATTGTCTGTATCTTAGGACTTTTCCTTATAACATCTAGAAAACAGCTCAAAGCAACAGATACAAAAGAGCATTGAAAAGGTTAAGTATGAGAAAAAACTACATTTTTTTCTGAATGGCATTCAATACTGCAGAGAATTTTTAAGATGGCTATGAAGTTGAGGGTTTCTGTGGCATTTTGAAGTCCCAGACACTGTATTTCTTCTGTTTTTGAAGATAACATAAGACAAGTGATGTGTGAAACCTTGTACGTGGGTCAAGTACAAGATGCTGTTTTTGAAGAAGGTCAGTTCAAAGTAAGAAATAAAGAAAATGATAAATTATATACTTTAATGGAAATTGAGCTGATGATACAAAAAATAAGACCACATTGTGTGCCAGACTTGCAAGAGTTCTCTTTGTTTTTCTTTGGTAAAGTTTCTTAAGCTGTTAATGATATTCAAAAGAGTTCATATGATGTTTAGTACTATAACGAGGAGACAAAAATACAACTTTCAGTCTATCTGGCTGTTAAACATGTCCAACATTGGTCAAGTGGGATAATAGCATTGACTTATAGTTCAGTCCAATTTTAAATCGAGCAAATGAGCTAGCCTTTTCTTTGTGTGTGTGTGTGTTTATGCGATTCTTGTTATACACATTGTGAATGCTTCTATGATCAAAATATATCTAAATTACCAAGATCTTTTTTTCCTGCAGATTCAAAATGTTGTATTTGTCTTTTTGCAGTTTTTAAATAAAATTTTAAATAGTAAATATCGTATGTTGTTTTTAATTGGAGCCCTGAATATAAAACCATGAATTTATCGCATTTGTTGTTTTTAGTGAATTCATTTAAACTAATTATGATATTTGATTCATTTTTTTAGGTTCGTGCACTAACTAGAGATGATATTGAAAAGAAACTAACATTTGTGGGCTTTGTTATAATCTCTTGTCCTCTGAAATCTGACTCAAAAGCTGTTATTAAGGAAATTCAGGCAGCTAGTCATCATGTGAGTTCTATTTTTTTTTTTTTTTTTTTTTTTTTTTTTTAAAGAAAGTTAAAAAACACACATAGCAAATTTAGCATAAAACAAACACCAGTAGAACTAAATTAAGTATGATCTTTTACTAGTAAATATGTACAAAGAATTATTGCTGTTACAATTTTATGCAAGCTTGGTTTCTTTATAGTCAAAACATTATAAATTTTCTTACTTAAACTTAGGATTGCGAACATTATCCAAATTTTAATAATAAAAATTTTAATAATATTTTTATAATATTCTTAAAACTTATACTGCATGTGCATATATTATTAACTAATTAAGTGTATTAAATGTATTTGCAGTGAGCAACAACAGAAGGGATTTTTTCTTCTGGTTCAACTGTTAAAAGTAAACTGTATTTTGCATACGTTAAGAATTGTTATCACTTTGCTTGCATAGTTTATAAAATTTAATAATAATTTTTCCTCCCTCTCTGCTATTCCGATTTGCAGGTATAGGGATATTCCTGAATTGCTATTCATCAAATATAAATTTACGAAATATTGCATTAATATTTAAAGTTAAATTTTTTACAATGATAGGACCATTTTACAATTACACTTCTTCTTCAATTTAAAAAGTTTGAAATATAGGTTGCACTGGCCGGTTATATGGTTGTCTGGTCTTTCCCTCCAAAAAGTTGTCAATTTGTTGCCCAATAATTTTTTACTAGGCTAATATGTGAAAGGCAACAGTCATTTTGAAATTAGACACTAAGAATACATAAAAGAGGAATGAATCAACAAAGTTAAAAAAAGCAAGAAACATATATACATCATAAAATACTTAGCTTTTTCAAGAAATACTAGTATATATTTCTTGAAAAGGTAAGTGTGTGTGTAAAGTGTATGTACACTAGTGTGTGTGTAAAATATATATTTTACACAGTTATTCTCCTCATGTACACAGTGATCTGTTTTCATTTAAAAAAAGTCGGAGAATTCTGCAAAGTTGGCATCACACACAAATTTCAGTCTGTAAAATTTGATTCTTTAAGAAGTAGTTTCATGGAATGTTAATTTTATCATTCTGTACTATTGGGTAAAACATCATATTTCTTAAGAATGCAATACTCTCATTTTCACCAGTCAGCAAACTCTACTGTTATGATTCCTTACAAGAAAAAAAAAAAAAAAAAGACTTAAAGCAGAAACAGAAACATCAAAAACTTGTTGAATTTGAAGGTGGAAATCAGCACTTGCAAGCTGCATGCATGATCCCTATTTTGGTGGCATAGCCTGGTGAATACCTTTCAGGCACAGTGGATAATCAGAAAGAATCATCTAATATATGTTATTATGCATTACAATATTTTATTATTAAAGTATTTTTTGACAAAAGTTATTTCTTATTAGGTCATGATGATTACTGGTGATGCCCCACTTACAGCTTGTCATGTTGCAAGAGAACTTAATTTTACAAGTCATAGTAAAACTTTAATTTTTACACCTCCTTCTAAGCAAGGTATTATTTTATTTTTTTCTTTTCTGCTTTCGCTTTTTTTGTTAGTACTTAATTTTTGGTATTAAATGTATGTAGTGTATGTATCTTAAAATTCAAAATTATCTTGATCTAGTTCTTTAAAGTATAATTTTGTATAATAAAATATATTTTTAATTATATTTTGAAAATTATTATTTTGTATCAGCTGATCTATAAGAATAAAGTTATTCTTAAACATTCTTCAATCTGAGATAACATGAGCCTTTAACAGTTTGTTTGAACTGGTGTTGTATTTTGATGATCCTTTACAGAGAAAATTTTCTTCACTGTGGTGTACTTTTACTGAAGTGATGAAGTTGGCTTTCACATAAACAAATTCAGTTTTCTTAAATAATATTATGGTTTATTAACATTGAAGGTACTTTTTTGGGGGGGGGCAGAGTATTTCAGGCTCTTTTCTAATAATATAGTTGCATAAAAGTTGTTTTCATTTTGTTGCTAACTAATGCATAATTATGAAGATCATAGAACATCAGGAACTATAATAAAAACAATTTTATAAATTTCCAGCAGTGTAGCTAAATGCTTATCTACTGATAACTGAATGCATATGGCTGTGTATGTAGAATTTGTATGAAAGAACATATAATACCATTTCTAATGCAATATTTTTAAGACACTTTAGCCATCATTCTTTAGTGAAGGACGTTAAAAAGACTTCTTAGCATAAATGAGCAAATTCTCAAACTCCTTAGTACAAACTGAGATGAACTATATCTGAGAAGATTTGTTAGTAAAAAATTTAGTTAAGTATATCTGCAGCTTTTTATGTGATGATAGTATTAAAATACATTTAAGTTTATTTGATGGCTTTAAATTTTAATTTGAGTGCCCAAGAACCCAATCCGTTGGTGCTTTAATAAAAATTAAAAAAAAAAAAAAAAAGAACATAGTGCTGTCAGTATATGGGTTACAGAGTCACTTTTAAAGACTGATACAAGATCTTTTTCTGTGCATTATTAAAAGTATACTAAAGTATACTAAGAAGAAAACAAACAAGCCTGTTAAGTTTTTATCACTTGAAATTAATGTCTTTGATTATCCTTCTGCAACAAATGAGTTGTGTGAGTGTGTTAAAATTTGTGTTTTTGCCTCTTAGGACATCTAGGGTCTATTAGTATGTTATGAAAAAAATATGATGCAAAAGTTTTATTTTGTTATGTTTATTAAACTTATTTTATTATGTTTCATAGTTTTACTTGTGCATATTTTCAATCTGATAAATTCCTCATTGTTTTTACCCTTTATTTTGAACTTTAGGTGGGAATTGGAATTGGATAGCAATTGATGAAAGTGTAACTTTGCCAGATGTGCCACAGAAAGGTGCATTCCAGCTGTATACTAAATATGATCTTTGTCTTACTGGTGAGGTGTGTGTAGAGGCTTGCTATTCTTTTTTATGTTCTCCCACCCTGAAATTGAGTGAATTTTAATTATTCAGATAAGAATTAAAGGTATAGTATCAGCTAGCATAAACAGTTTTGAAATTTTTTATAACTTGTATAAATATGAATAATAGTTGGGAGTCTTACATAGTAGTATCCATTGATCTCCTTCATAAGAACTGAATTTTGATGAAATTTTCAGCCTAAAATTTTTTTTCCATGAAAATTTGTTAAATGTTTCAACTTTGTTTTCAGTAAAATTAAACTGCATTTTCTGATTATTTCAAATATAATATGTACCAAGTAATGGCTTAATCAGTATTTTTCTTCACTGTTTCACTGCTTTTGGATTTTACTGTCTCAGTGTTTTGAAAAATAATAATTTTTGATTTTTGTAAATTGATCTATAAACTGGATATCAACCAAATCCTCCAAGGATGAAAGTATCTCTATCTTTGTGAGAAACAATAATTTCAGTACACTAAGTGATAAGCATATGCACTGTGATTGTCTGTTGTAGTTTTTCTATTTCCATATTTAGATTTAAATCATGATGAACGATAGTTAATCATTTCTCATCAAAATACTCAAGTTCCTGTATCAACTATTTCAAACAATAGCTAGCTTTAAACAATACTTGTTATGAAACTACTTAAAGAATGGTTTCTTTAGTCTAATGTAAAAATTTGCAAAAAGATTTGCAGTTGTGCCATCGAGTTTGTAACATTTGCCATATCGAACAATACATTTTTGGAACCATTTTCTCATATTTTTTGGAGTGCTATTTTTCATTTGAAACATAATTTTATAAGGGTTAGTCATAGGAATCTCTGGATCAAAAACTTGGATAAGGATTTATTGGATTGCCACAAAACTCGCTATAGTTATTTGCCTACAGAGGGGAATTAAAGAAGATTAAAGTTATTCATGAATGACTTAGAAACTCAGAATTGGATCATATTCGGGACACTGTGTTATATTCATATCAAGTATGCATGGATATAGCTTTATGTACATCTTGCATTCAAAAAATGTTCTATGTCTCCAGTTCACTAGTCCGATTGATGAAATTTAACTTGCATTTTTCATGTCTTGAAAGTACGACTTAGGATATACATTAGATTTATATATAGCATTGCTCTAACATAGGTATTCTGACATGACACAAAATCAGACTTTTTCTGAAATGATGCACCAATTTTTTCCTCATATTTTGATTCTACAATTCAAACTATGCCAAAATGCCACATTCTGTAAAAATCACAAGAATAGGTTTTAAAAAAATTGGCTCTCAAAATTAATGCTCCTCAATTTTAATTTAATTTGATATGTATTTATTAGTATCTTTTTTTATTAAACTTACTTGATTCTTTCTTCCAGAATTCGAAATTTAGGTTCAATTCAAATAAAATTCACAAATATTTTTTTTAATTTATTTAAATTTTTTTTCTTTTTTTTAGTAATTTGTATAAATTTTTTAAAACATTTTTGAGTTAAAAGCTACAACATTTTTGCTATTATCTCAAAGTAGATGTATTTCTAGGCACATCTGCAAAAATTTATTTAAAATTTCCCAAGATATATGTATATGAATATATATATTTGCATGTTTTGAAATTTGGCATATTTATTTGTAAGCAATAATAACACAAAATGTGGTTTACACAGTTTGTTTTAATTATTTGAAAGAATGAACAAAGCAACCATTTTTTTTTTTTTTTTTTTTTACGCTCATGCACAATGAAAGGGGAAGGAAAATAGTTTACTATAAATTAAGAATTTCGCCAAGTGAATTAATTAACCTTGGCAGAAACTGAAAAAAGTGTGCCAAGATGATTTTTTTAATTTCTCATTAAGTTTTTCACCAAATTGTACAAAATTTGAATATTGTGGCATAATTTGATTCATAGAATCAAAATACATAGAAAAATCGGTCAAGTCCGATTTTGTGTCAAAATACCTGTGTTAAAACAACACTATATCAGGGTTTGTATGGTCCTTAAGAGTCCTTAAAAGTCCTTAAGTTTTTTGGAATCAATTTTTGGTCCTTAATTTTAATCATCAGAAATGTCTGTTTTTACAACTGCCATTTTGAGTGTGAATTATCATTTTGGAGTAATATATTTGGCGATTCACTGACATATATGGTTATCTTTTGAATGGGTTCATGGGTTATAATTCGTCCCTGTTTCTAATATAAATGGTGGGAGACTGGAGTTTCTAAGGAAGAAGTGAAACATAAGCATTTCGAAATTCATTTTTTCTAAGAGCTCTTAAACAACTTTTCACCTTTATTAAACACTTCTGAATTTGGCGAATTATAAACATTTTTGCGATTTTAAGATCAGTTTGTATAAAAAGTTTTTAATTTGGAGATCTGGGAAATTTTCAACAGTTATTTTTAAAAAATTGTAATGTTGATAAATTTCACTAAAGTAATAGTAATATATTGGAATTATACTTAAAAATAACATTAAAATAAAAAATTTTTATTTTTCGTTGTAATATTATAAAGTTTTATTTTGGCAACTTATAATACAGTATTTTGAGTCTAATAAATAAACAAGGTATAATGTATAGAAAATGTATGTATAAAGCACAATTTACAAAACAGTTCTTAGCAAAAGCAAAAGTAGCTGTATAGTTAAATTAAAAATGTCTTTGTTAAAATTTTTTCATGGTAAGAGTTTTTCCCGTGTAATCGTATCAGAATATTCAGAATATGCATCAGTTTTCTCTATAAAATTATTTTTACACTTTTTCTCTCCTTTTTGTTTCCAAAATATTTCTGGCTTTCTGCTATTACAGAATTGGTAGGGATAATTTTGGTTTAGAATTTTAGACATTGGAGCTTCAAAAGTTTAAAAGAATTTGAAGGCAAGATTTATAGACTCACTTTTCTAGAAAATTCTAGAGATAGGAGACAAAATAAAAAAATATCTCCATATTATTATCACATAATGGATGTATTTTACACAAAGTTTGCAAAGAATTTCTTTTTGGAGAACGTCTGGTAGAACAATGAAAATATAATATTTGAATGCTTTACTTCTGATACTAGAATCTTTTTCTTAACATGTTTATCTTCCTTTTATTTTTTCTACTTTTCACTAGACACAAGTATGGAAAAGATCAAAAATGCTTATAATCTTATCACATGGGTAGGCATTATATAAAGGAATTTTTTTATTAATGAAAAAAATTGAAAACTTAGGCTTTTAAAAGATTCATCTAATATGTCTTAATGTATCGTACACCGAGCTGGCACTAGGCATTTTTCCTCCTGATGCAATCTCTGTGCAACCTTTCTGCTGCCTAGTGCCTTTCTAAATTCTGCTTCCAATGTCTGCTCTAAATTCTAAAAGTTTTGCCATTTCTAGATTTTGTTGCTCAGCGTGTCACTGAATTTTAAAAATTCTGCCACACCAGCTCTGTAACCGACCCTTACCATATATATTTCATATTTCTTCTGAATGTTCATATTACTAAAGTAATAAAATTAGCCGCTTTTTCTATGCATTCTAAGTGCACTTTTTTTTTAAATTTTATTTTTATTTAGAAATCTTTAATTAAATCCAAAAATTCTAAAATGAAAAGGAAACCTGTTGAAGAAGAAAACTAAATACACAAAGAAAATTATTCTTCAAAGATATGTACAGTTATTATGTAAATTACCCAGTTGTTCATAATTTTAGTCTTCACTAGAATTTCCTGTTTTTATTTCCGCATATGATAGAGTTACTGAGCCAGCTTAAATTAAAATTAAATTGTATAATCTTTGACCACTAAAAGATTGAATTTGACTGTTCTTGTTTAATAACGTCACCATGAGCTGTAATTGATTTTGTTAGCATCAGAACATGCCTTTATGTTCTAAGTTCTTTTTAAATAAGAGGCTTATTTAAGCCTTTGATATTATAGTTACTTTCAGACATAGCAATAATTTGCTTCACATCTATCAAGGGGGGATTGGAACTATTTAACTTTTACCAGATCAAGTAAACCCTCATAGAGGTGCATTGTGGAGAGGTTGATAAGTTAGCAGATAAAGCATGCAGAAACTAGTCAGAGCATTGGTTTGCATATTGAGAAAAATTTCTGATTGTTAGAAAAGATGCTTAAAGAGAAGGAAATCGATAAAAATTTGCCAAAATGACTGGGAAGGCTTCAAATTAAAATTACACATAAATATTTTGATGAGTGTTGTTGTTACAAGACATAACTGTTTTGTAACAACAACACTTTCAAAACTTGCCAACTGTTCCTACAACAGGCCTTTCAGGTTTGTTCTAATCAGCAGGTCTTTCTCTAGACAAGCAGTGACAACATTCAGTCTTTTGTTATGAATCATGCTGATTATGATCTTACTTCTCATTTTAACCTACGGCGCTTGACATGAAATCTACCTGCTATTTACTAAACCTCTAGACTGAACAAGTATGTGACAAAATGAGACATAAAAATATCAACATAAAGCTAACTATTAGTAAAATATAAATGTTACTTATCTTATTTCAAATATGTCCAACTATTATAAGTAAAATATATTTAATGCTACTTGTAAATTGCATAAAGTTTATTTTATTCTCAAACTTTAATTTCAAACTTTCAATGTTAATTCATATTTAATAATAATGTGTCATACTTAGGGATCTATTTTAATTTTAGAATGGTATTACAAAACTGAAATTCAGGCATAGATATTTTTAATTGAATTTATTCAGTTTTTAAAATATTTTTAATTGAATTTATTCAGTTCTCATTTGCTCATAGGTTCTTAATTTTTTTCATTAAAGGTCCTTAAAAGTTCTTAATTTCTGTGCAGAAATGTGTATGAACCCTGTATATGTAAATCTAATATACATTCTAAATCAATGAACAAACTTGTAAAATGTCATCAACAAATTTGCTGACAGAAAAACAAGTAAAATATTATTTTAGAAAGGCTGGAATTAAAATTTTGTTTCAGAAATGAAGACAGAGATTTCATGTATCTTGCTGCAAGGTCATGTGTCCATTTTATAGATTTTTTAATGCACATTGAAAGCAGCAGCAAATAAAGCACTAGCAAAGGCTGCTGCTATGCCACTAGACAAAGGTCACACTTAAAGCACTTAAAGCATCTTTTTCATAGTATAATTAGCTTTGCAGTATTAGGGAGATAATTATGAAAAAAATATTGATTTCCTCCCCCCTCCCCTCAGTTTTTATGGCTTTGTAAGCAGCATTGTTAATAGAGAACCAATCATTTTTGAAGCCATAATGAAAAAATTTCAATTATTTATACATCAGGTTTCAGTGAATTAATCTGTTTGTGATAATAAACTTCATAGAATATTTGAATTTAAAGGGACACTTCCAGCTCACAGTAAATTAGAAATCATGAAACACATTTATTTTCCGAAAGGTCAAAATATTTCCTATATACTAAGACAGTGCAAAGGGTAAAGTGAATCCTGCTGCTGAATACAAGGTAGTTCAACCCAGGTTTGAATCTCAGCAAGTAAAATGGCTGCATAGGTGTAATGCGGGTAAAAATTAACTTTACCCACATTAACGTGAATATGAGCCAGTTTCCATTAAAAGTCCTCCATGAAGGATCCCTTTTTTCCTGAGGTGCATAACTCTAAACATTGAATTAATAATTGTTTTTAAATTAATTAAATAATTTTTAAAAAATGTGATAGAATAAAGCATTAAAAAAATTAAGACACAATAACACGCCGAATAAATACTAATTCAGAAGTCAAACAACAAAAATCAGCGTTATATTTACAAAATTTTCACAGGACTAGTTTCGATGGTTTTACCGAACCACCATCTTCAGCTGCAAAACCGCAAATGAACAAGATAGGAAATAATGATTAGATAAGATAAGAAAGCCTGGACAAGAATAAGCAAGTGGCGCCATCTGTTGGTAAAACCAGAACTAAAACATAATTTCTTTAAAGGCCGAAGGCAAATTTGGATTGGAATTAGGATCGTTAACTAGAACAGAAGGATTTTTTTATGAATGTGAAATGCCTCTAGAAAATCCAGTTTCTCCAATGGAAGATGTTTTTTGAATAATTTTGGCAGCAGAAAAAAACTGAAAGTGTGGTTTTTCGGACCAACAATGTTTGAGCAACAGAAGACTTCTGTGTTTCCTTTTTTTCTAACATATGCCTCATGTTCCTTGACGCGAAATTTTAAGGCTCTCTTAGTTTGGCCAATGTAAATTAAACCACACTGGCAAGGAATCCTATAAATACCCCAGGAATTCATATCCGGAATGGGGTCCTTGAGTATGGAACTCAGAATTTTATTGATGGGAGAATAAACAACCCGAAAGTTAAATTTCTGCAAAATATGTGCAACTTTATAGCTAATTGATGGAAAGAAGGGAATGACAACAGAATTTTTATAATCTCCTAAAACAAGATTGTGCCTTTTAGTGTATTGAGATGAGAATTTTTTAACTGCTTGATTAATAATGTTGGGTGGAAAGCCCCTGTCAATAGCTATTGCTTTTAAATACTTTAGTTCTTCATCAAGGGCTAGTTTGGAGGAGCAAACTTGGAAGAGCACGGAAAACATAGGAATAAAATGAAGCTAACTTTTGTTTAGTCGGATGACATGATTTAAAGTGTGGTGGAAGGCAAACCGATGAAGGTTTACGGTAAACCGTAGTACTGAAGTTGGATGTGTTACGTGTGACCAGAATGTCGAGAAACAGAAGAGAATTGCAAGTCTCAAGTTCAAAAGTGAACTGAATAGCAGGATCAATAGAATTCATTGTTGAAAGAACTTTATTTAAATCATCTTTATTACCTTCAAACAGAGTAAAAGTATCGTCTACGTAGCGGAACCATGCCGGGAAGTTTAAAGTTTCAAACAATTTTGATTCATAATAATGCATGTAGATATCAGCCAGGATGGGACTGAGGGGGCTTCCCATGGCTAATCCCTCAGTTTGCTTGTAATATTTATTTTGGAAAACAAAATGTGTTTGTTTCAAACAGAGTTGAGTGAGAGAAATTAGCTCATCAATTTCGATGCAAGAGAAATGAAATTCGTGAAGTCTGGTTTCTAGACATCTTAATGCACCCTCCACTGGGACATTGGTGAATAATGATTTTACATCAAAAGAAACCATGAGTAAATTACTAGGAGAAATGTTTTTAACTTTTTTCACAAACTCTATTGAATTTTTTATGGTGTAAATGTTATTGTCTAATAGAGTTGAAAATCTAGAAACTAAATATTTAGCTAATGGATATGAGGCAGTACCTAAATTTGATACAATAGGGCGGAAAGGAATACCACTTTTATGAATTTTAGGAAGAGCATATAATCTGGCACAATTCGCAACAGATGGGATAAGTGAATGTTTTAAGTTGGCTGAAATGATTTGCGAAGATTTGATCGCAGTTTTTATTTTTGACAAATCCGAAGGTGAAGGATCTTTAGGGATCGGATTATATGGTCCTTCGTTTAAGAGTTTAGTGACACCATCGATGTAAGTGTTCCTATCCATGACGACTATCTGGCCACCTTTGTCGGCCTTTGAAATAATAATATCCGGGTTAGAATGAATTTCACGCAATGTAGCTCTTTCTCTCGCAGTTAGATTTGGTTTCAAAGGTTTATTATTGAATTTCACGTTATGAGCGATAAGATGCCTAATCATTTCTTTCTGTGAATCTGAAACTACTTTCTGTGAATCTGAATCTGAAATGAACTTCAAAGCTTTTTCGATAGGAGCTAAAATCTTTGGAATCGAGGGTTTACAGGTTTGTGAGAAGTTAAAATTATATTTTAGAATTCTCTCTTGTTCTTCTGAAAGACTAACATTAGAAATATTAACTATTGGCTTGATGTTTACAATGGGAAGATTTTTTGAACTACTTGAACTGGAAGATTGTAAAAGAAGTTTTTCGAATTTAACTGCAAGGGTGTTTTTATGACAGTTAACTGCATTCTCCGTTCTAGACCAAGACTTTTGTTCAAGGGCAGTGAATTTTGGATATGATTTAGCGAGTTCCAGATGAAGTTTATAGAGTTCACGTTCAATTTTGGACAATTGTTGACGTGTATCCCTTATGGCGGACCGAAGTAAGGCAAGCTTGCAATTTAACAGAATTCTTGAAACGCGACTCGAAGGTTTTTGATTAGATTTGATTTGAATAAAATTGGGGATCAATTTTCTACATTTACATTTAAGTAAAAAGTCAAGATGATTAAGGAATTTTTGCCGTTTCAGGCGTAATTTAGTGAAACGATTAACGGATGAAGGCATGATAAACAATACAGAAAATCAAACTAAATTAACTAAACAATAATAAAGCACACACAAAACAGCAGAAAAATCCCTCACTGAAATTAACAGAAAACAAAACGTTTGTAAGCAAAATGCATGAAATCAGACAAGCAAAGCACAATATCCAAATATACAAAATATAAACATAACTTGAAAATTGCAAAAAAGTACTTACCGAAACTCATGCAATCACAAAATGGCGGCCACACCACGTGCAAAAAAGAAAGCAAAAAGTAAGCCTGTTTGGGGCTTCTATAATTAAGACACAATAACACGCCGAATAAATACTAATTCAGAAGTCAAACAACAAAAATCAGCGTTATATTTACAAAATTTTCACAGGACTAGTTTCGATGGTTTTACCGAACCACCATCTTCAGCTGCAAAACCGCAAATGAACAAGATAGGAAATAATGATTAGATAAGATAAGAAAGCCTGGACAAGAATAAGCAAGTGGTGCCATCTGTTGGTAAAACCAGAACTAAAACATAATTTCTTTAAAGGCCGAAGGCAAATTTGGATTGGAATTAGGATCGTTAACTAGAACAGAAAGATTTTTATGAATGTGAAATGCCTCTAGAAAATCCAGTTCTCCAATGGAAGATGTTTTTTGAATAATTTTGGCAGCAGAAAAACTGAAAGTGTGGTTTTCGGACCAACAATGTTGAGCAACAGAAGACTTCTGTGTTTCCTTTTTTCTAACATATGCCTCATGTTTCTTGACGCGAAATTTTAAGGCTCTCTTAGTTTGGCCAATGTAAATTAAACCACACTGGCAAGGAATCCTATAAATACCCCAGGAATTCATATCCGGAATGGGGTCCTTGAGTATGGAACTCGGAATTTTATTATTACAACATTAAAAAAATGTTGCATTCTATTAAAATGCTTTCAAGTAGCTAACGGAACTAAAAGAATAAATTGGGGAGTAAGGGGAAATCTGTTATCACTTTTTTTGATGTTAGAAATTTTAAAATATTGAAATCCACTTAAAATAAAAGGATTAAAAATATAAAATTCCTAGTAATTTTCTCCAAGAAATTGAAAAAAAAAGGGGGGAGGTGGTTTTAAATTATATTTAGTATAAAGATTTAGCAAGAAGAATTACTCTGAAAGATGTAAGTTTTGATTTTCATGCAGGACAAAGTGAGTTTGTTTTTATAATATAGTATTGTTTATAATTATTATATAGCATAGTTTTTGAAAATATTTATGAAAATTATAGATTTTTCATAGTTTGATACTTTTACAGGGTATGACTTATCTAGCATCTAAAAATCATGAGTTTTTGAGATCGATATTGCCACACGTTCGTATTTTTGCCAGAGTTGCTCCTAAACAGAAGGTAAGTTTTTTTTTTTTTTTTTTTTTTTTTTTTTTTTTTTTTTTTTTTTTTTTTAATTTATGTGTCTTTATTAGTTGTAATACCATAATCATCTTCAGGTCAGTTAATCAGATCAACCAGGTCATAAAATAAAAATATTTATAATAATAACGAACAGTTCAACTTTTATCACTTAGAAGATAAATAAAGCAGACATTTAGTGCATTTGATTATTCTTTAATGAGAAATTTATCTCCTATTTTATATATGTAATTTAAATGTATTTTCTTTTAAAAGGAAAATGTCATAACAGAATTGAAAAGTCTGGGTTGGATAACTTTAATGTGTGGAGATGGGACAAATGATGTTGGTGCTTTGAAACATGCTCATATAGGTAAATAATTATTCTGTGTAATGTCATTTTAGACAGAAAATTAGTAAAACTAATAATTTTAATATTATAAAACAAATTCAGTCTGGAAGAACATTCAGTCTCAATATAAAGTTTTATACTGTAGTTTACCTACTGCACATAGTTTGCATTTCAAGAAATCGATGAACTTTTAAAAAAAGTATATTATCATATCTAAGAGTAAATTCTAAGTACTGTGTATTATAAATTGGCTTTTAAATTAGCCTCTAATTGTATGTTTCAATATAATGTTAATTTTATATTGGATTTTGGATCAGAGGCAAAGAATTTAATATTTGATTTAACTGAAATACATATTTGATAGCTAGATGTATATTTTGTAAATTTAACTATTATTGTTTAAATGGATATCTGCACTCATTTCGTTTTTTGGGAATTTATTAAACTCATTTGCATTAGAAATTTTCCCTATTCAGTTTGGTTGTAAATGAAGGTACTTCAAAGTAAACTCATTAACATGTTAAAAATGGTTAGTTTATGTATTAATAGTAATATTGTTAAATATATTTGTATATATATATTTAAAATTAGGGTAGAGAGCAGAGATGAAAATCTAAACATTCACAATCCTCTAAGTTCATTTAATAATTCAAATTCTGTTTTCTAAATATATTTGAAATAGCAGTGTTGAGGCATAAGTTGTAAACTTTTTTTAAAGTGTGAATAATTATGTAATAAAAACCCCATTATGACAAAATAAAAACAATATGTAGAAGCTGCTGTTGTTTTTTAAACAAATTAGATATTATTATCTTTTACTGCTACAAAATTATTCAAAAATTGTTTTATAGTTTCTTTTAAATTTTGCTAAATATTTTGATGAGGATTATAATTACCCGTATCATAGAATCTAATTAAGCATTTTCAGTCTGCTGAGAAGAGGATTAGTGTGAATCTGTAGTAATCTATAGTACTAAACATTTTTTTGTGTTACACATGGAACAACATGTGCACAACAATATATTGTGTACAAGGGGAAAACAGTGTTGTATTTTTTATTACTGACATTTTTTGTTTTTAAAATTTTATTGATTGGCTGCTGTTGTATAAAATTTTTGGTACACTGCCATTTTGAAATGGATTGTGTCTGTTGTCTTTTGTGTATTAGTTTGGTGAAAAATTTCATTATTATTATTATAATATTATGGTACAGTATTGTTATTATCAGTATAATTATTAACAGAAATATGTTTCAGAAGATCTATATATGAAACATATTTTTGTGTTGGTAGTGAATCTAACAAGTCTATTAAATGTGGTGATAATGAGTTAGTCATTATATTCCTATATTTATAATATCAATAATTTAGGTAACAGCATTAACATTTTCTGCTTTTTTACTTTTCTGTCTAATATATGTATGTATATCTGTGCATTTTTAAGTGTGAATATGCTGATGTAATTCAGGATATGTTAACAGTTTTTCCTACCGAAAAAGTCCAGATTTTGGTGAGATAAATTAGTAACTTGCTTTTTCAATAGGATATGTTAATAGTTCTTCCTACAAAAAAAGTCCAAATTTTGGTGAGATAAATTAGTAAATTGCTTTTTCAATAACTATGCAGTTTTCCCGCTCTACAAGTTATATTTCCATTAGATACTGTTTCTTCTCTTGTAAAAGGAAAGTAATGAAATCAAATAATCTATTTCTTGTTATAGATGCCTGAATTTGCAGGGCAGAATTAGTTTTGATTATCAATCTAAGAACTTTAATCAGTGTACTTGTTTGCATTTGAGTAAATAAATTTCAGTTTAGGGTTTTTTCTTGCCTTTTCTTTCACATGTAATTACCAGATATAAGTAAAGTGATTTGTTAGAAACAGTTTTAAAAGGAGGAAGAAGGACAAAGAACATGCCAAATGTTTTGTCATTACTTACTCAAATATATTTCATAGGTGTGGCTATATTATCTGGGGTTCCAGAAAGACCCCCTTTGAAACCAAAGCGACTGAAAGAGGAAGATTTGTCTGATAAAGATGTGGCAAATAATGCTGTTATATCCAAACTTGAGGCTATGGCTTCGAAAGGAAAGGTTTCAAGAAGATCAGAAGGGAAAAATAAAGTATCTAAGGCTGATAGTTTTGCTGAAACTCAGGTTAGCTATTTAAAACTAAACGGTTTCTGAAATTATTCAGATGCTAATGATCAAATTAAATAAATCTTGCATTTGTATAGAATTTAATAGCTTTAATTAAAGTTTTAAACTTTTTCTAGAAAAAATTGCAGAAACTTTTAAAAGAAATGGAAGAGCACGATCCAGCTCAGATAGTTAAACTAGGAGATGCTAGCATAGCTGCTCCTTTTACATCTAAACTATCGTCTATACAATGCAGTAAGTCAGTGTGTTTTCTTTGTTATTTTTGTATGTAAAATTAACAAAATAAATTGGTATAAAAGCCATAAAATTTCTTTATTATGAAGATGTAGTTTACTTGCAACACAATCAAACTGTGATAAATTGATAAGAAGATTTACAGTTAAAAATTTACCTCTACGTTAAGGGATTTACAGGTGAAAATTATTAAAAGCTTTCCTGTAAAGATATAATTTTCTTATAATATAACCAAAATAGAAAAAATTGAGAAAGAAATCATATATTTATAAAATTCACTTTCAGATAATGAAAATGATTACACCTTATGAAAATGATTACATCTTAATGATATACACCTGCATTTCATGATTTCTGAGGCTGCCAGGATTGTTCCTGGTGGGTTGAGTAACAGCATGCAGGTTTTTTTGTGCCCCGTATATAATTTTAAATATATAATTGAATAATTTATTTTAGCCTTTGGAAAAGGAAGACCTTTTTTTGCCACCTTTTATAGAAAAAATTATGGGATTTGTACAGTAAAATCTTGATTATCCAGAAAATTTGGGAAATGCCAGTTTCTGGATAGTTAAGTGTATATATAATGGAGTTTATGTAAGAAAAGCCAAATGGATGAAAAAAAAAAAAAAAATCTGATCTAAAATTGTAAAAACGATCATCTTATTGTTACCAACTTCAGTATTAAAAGCCTATATTTAAAATTATATAAGATTTAAATAAATAAATAAAGACAGAAATAAACTAAAAAAATCTGCATTTCAGATATAAAATCCAACATATTTCATGGCCCTTAAACATGAAAGTAAAACATCTGATTCAATCATAAAATCCTTGTACCATAAAAGTTGGCTTAAATGTCGCCAGTCATTTTGGCAGAAGTTTAAATGGAGAGAAAAATAAATAGTTTAAATGAACAGATTGTTCTTTATATATTAAATAGCAGACAGATTACAAGTTATGGATATATCATATAAAAAATTAAAATCGTGTTCCATGAAAATCATAATTTTTCAAATTGCATCCATTGTTCATTTGTTTTCAAAGTTGCATATCATGGCCTTTTTTTTTTATACCTGGATTCTGTAATTTTGAAACTACTGCGCAGAATGCTGCTCAGATATTAAATCATTTTTCCAGAATACAAGGAAATAATTTATATTCTTCTTCTCAAAAATTAAACTGTTTTATTAAGAATTAATTGAGTTTACATTAAACGAAAATAAACTTCTTGGACTGTAATGTGATGTCATACTTGTCCATAATTGGCTGTAAGTCACACTGTTTAGTAGCAGTGTATGCCTAAAACAAGATCTATAATGATGTTTCAAATCTCTCATTTACTAAATTTTTTGGAGGAAACTTATTTTCTGAAATACTAAAATATTCCGGTTACTTGATCTTTCCAGTTAGTTGAATGCCGGATAGTTGGGTTTTACTGTATTTGTCCTTGCATAGGTAACTTCCGCTTTACAGGATCCCAACTGAATTTGGCACCCCTAAATTTTGTTACCTGCATACAAGGCATTCATTGCATACCTGCCAAAAACAGTCCTATCTTTCATATTATTAGAGTTAATTTTATACCTGGATTCTGAATTTTAGAAATTTCATGTATGATTTGCTTCTGTTATATTCATTCTATGAATGCCATGTGTGATTTGCTTCCAATCTATTCATTTTCTTTTTCCCCCCCTTAGTTTGCCATATTATTAAGCAAGGTCGTTGCACCCTTGTTACTACTCTGCAGATGTTCAAAATCCTAGCTCTAAATGCCTTGATTTTAGCATATTGTCAGAGTGTTTTGTATTTAGATGGAATTAAATTTAGTGACACTCAAGCAACACTACAAGGATTATTGCTGGCTGGATGCTTCTTATTTATATCAAGGTCTAAGGTATGTATTAAAATGTTTAATAATTTTAAAATGTGTGTAATTTGGGAGAGGTGAAGTGAAATTTTTTACAGAGATTTATTTAGATTTCTTATTTACTTTTAGCCTTTGAAAACGCTGTCCAAGGAACGACCTCTTCCAAATATTTTTAATGTGTACACAATTCTAACAGTTCTTCTACAATTTATTGTGCATTTTAGCTGTTTAGTTTTTCTTGTGCAAGAAGCAACTTCTAGGTCACCACCAAGGTATTGTGGTTGTTGTAGAATGGGTATAATTTTTTTATGACTATACAACTAACAGTATAAATTCTATGATGAAATAAATAAATTGCATTTACTTTCAGAACTGAAAAATTTGCTGATTTGGATGCAGAGTTCAAGCCATCTTTACTCAATAGCACTGTGTATATAATATCGATGGCATTGCAACTGTCTACATTTGCTATAAATTACAGGGTATTTATTCTGATCGATTTCTTTTTTAATAATTATCTATTTTGAAAGTAAGTGAAAAAAATAGTTTATATTCAGAATAGTTACTGTAATTTAAAAAATTCCAAGAACAATAATTTAGGCCTTGAATTATAACAAAATTGTGTAAATATGAGAATTAAAATTGACCCCCTCAGGAGGGAACTTCTTAGATTACCATAGAGCTTAATTATTACTTTCTAGGTTAAAAGGGTGATTTGGTTCCTCTTCTTTGGAATCAAAAATTTTTTTGCTTTTAAAGAAGATATATCTATACCTGATTATCTATGTAAAGTTGCTTTTTAGTTTCAAGTCAAGCTTTATAGTGTGCTTCGCTGAATTTTCAATCTATGGCCGTTACACAGAATTTAAAAAAAAAGTAAAGTCTTATTTTTAATTTAAATGAAGTTTGAAATGGAACCATTTCCTTTTTTCATATAAAAACTTTCTGCATGAAATTATTGTCTGGATCATATCTCATATTTCATTAAATTTAGAATTTAAATTGAACACTGTGGATTGTGCAGCATAAATTTTGCTTTCCTTAAATGAGTATGAGCAGCTAATCTTGTAGTTGTGCTTGCTTGAAACAGTATGAACACAACTAGATCACTTTAGAATTGTGATCTATGTTGTGGATTTATTTATTTTATTTTTTGTTATTTCAACATATTTTATATATGAGGCCATTATAAAGACCAGATAAGATGAATGGCTTTGTTGTGTAGAAGATGAAAATCATTTTATGAAATATTTCAAATGTTAATAAAAACAAACAAAATTAATTTCAAAGCTGTCTTTCGGCATGTTTTCCATCATTTGAAATACATGTATAGGGTATTTGGAATTACAATTATGATACTAAGCGTTTGAATTACCTTTTTACAACAATTAATTAAAATGAGAAATTTTTATTTATAAGTAATAATTTTAATTTATCTTAATAAATTATTTTCCTAAAACAGTTTAGAGATTATTTTATTTGTTTTATAAATTTAAAAATATTTTAAAATGTACAAAAAATTGTAAGGTTTCTGTGAATAAATTATTTAATACATACTATATACTCCAGATCTGTTGTTTTCATTGTTACAAACTTTTCTATATCTTTTATGATTTGATATCAGAAGGATAGCATTTAATATCTCTTCAATAGTACTATTTCTCATTTGAGTATTATTTATGCTCTGAAATAACAAAATTATAGATTATTTATTAGCTTAATAAATAAGCTCTTTTATTTGTTTATATTTCTTAGGGTCATCCATTTATGGAAAGCTTGTCAGAAAATAAACCATTATTGTATAGTATAGTAATATCAAGCACTGCAATTCTTATGCTAGTGACTGGTTTGTCACCTGATTTAGCCAATGTTTTTTCCATTGTTGACTTTCCGTATGAGGTAAGTTTTCCTTCTCTTTTTTAATCTTCACATTCATAAAGATATTTTAGATTAGTGGCAGAATTGTAAAAAAATACAGGATTTGAGATAATATAGTAACCTATCCTTTAATTTGTCTGATAATATTTTTAGGATTCACATGGAAAAAACAATAAATAATAATAGACTTTTCTCCATTATTTACATTCATAATTTATTGCATTTTTCTCACTTTCAAAAATTTTATAAACCAAGAACCTTGTCTACTTCCAAGTTAAGAAATTGTATACTGAATCTGATCTGCAGATTGTAGATAATATATGGTTTAGAGTAAAAGTGCAAAAGGTTGGCATATAAAACGTTTTTGGAGGAGTTTGCATATTGATCATGAATATTGTTATTTTCATTTCTTAAGCTATTCACTCCATGGGGGTGGAACTAAAACATTTCTTAAACTATTCATTACGATAGTACTGCAGTGAATAGATGCCATGGTTGAAGCCCAAACTTATCCAGATAAATGCATTTATTTTACAATTAATAGGCTATTGTTTATTGCTTAGAATTATGTGTGAAATGTGAATGCACATAACATGACATTGTTGCCAACAGATTCATATAAACAAACTGGTGTGGAACTATCCTTTTTATTTTGGCTAAAGAAAGATACAAATACTGAATTGTTCTTGAATAATAGTGACATGTAGTTGTTAACTTTTGTAAAACTGCCCCCTGCTGCATGACAGTATGCTTCTTCATGTTTCTAGGACTGTAAAAGAGAAGGCTTTTGTGTCCATATATGTATTTGAGCTCTCTTATTTACAAGCTTGATCTTTTGCTAAAGATACTTATTTGTGATCCGTTGAAAAAGTCCCTAAAAAGGCGACAAGTTTGGTTAGATGATGGCTTATCTGTCTCTCTCTGTCCCCCCCCCCCACAGAAGACAACAGACTTCTAAACGTGGTTTTCAGGAGCTGCCTTATTTCTAGTTGTTGATTCTTTGAAACAGAATGGGTCCTATCAAGTTAACCAGTCCTCAAATAAAAATGTTTGACCATCCTTTTTATTTATTTTTTATTGCACACATATACAGTATAAACTTTGTTGTTTGTAATTTTGTGGTGGTAGTAGCTTGGTTTACATCTATAATATATTACAATATTAAACACAGTTATAAAGAATTTTACTTTATAACTGTGTTTATAATAAGCTTAATTAAAAAACATACATACAGTAAATGATCTAATGAAAGTTTAGTCAAACATATATTAAATCCCCTTTTCCTGAACATTTAACATTTAATTTCTCATATGGCCTGTGCTTTCAACTTTTCCTGAATATTTAACATTTAATATCTTATGTGCTTTTTTTTTCTCCAATGATTTAATGTCTAGAAATTAATAGAAAATATTGGTTGCTATAGTTTGATTTTTTACCAAATCACTTAAATTTAAAATAGAAAGGAAGAGCAAAAAATTGTTTAAGTCTGTAAATTTTAAATAGTATGAATGTTACCCTTGTAATCTCTTAATTATTTTTATACGTAGCTTTATAAAAGCTGGAACATTTTATATTTTGTGTGCCCATAGGCTGAAAAGAGAAATATCAATTTTTTATGCAATACAAAATTACCCAGAAGTCAAATTTTTTTTTAAATTGTATTTCAGTAAGTTTTTAATATATTCTATTGCAGTTAATACAGAATTGCTGGAAATAATATATTTTTACAAAATAAATTTTTATTATATAATTTAGATAATTTAGTTTAACGGATCTATTATATCTTTTAATTCTAAATGTGTGACACTACCTTTATCTTCTGCAGCAAGATTATTTCTAATACAGTAAAAGCTGGACTATCCGGCATTCAAGTAGCCACAACATTTTAAGATTTTAGAAGAAAACATGTCGTCCGAAAAACTTAAATGAGAGGTTATAGCTCTCATTTTAGGTATACATTGCAGCCAAACAGTGTGATTTAGCACCAATAATGGATAAGCATAACATCACAACCCAGTTTAAGAAATTTGTTTTGATTTACTATAAACTGATTAATTTTTGATAAGCCAGTTTAATGTTTAGCTTATTGTCTGTTGGATCATTAGTACATTTAAATTTGTACAATATAATTTCATTTAATTTTGAAAATGCATTAAAATAATCAGTTTTAATAACTTTTCAGATTTGGTCATTAAATTACATTTTAGGCTAATCAAATTATCATATGCATCTAATACGTATTTTTTTTTTTTCTTTCTTTACAGTTTCAAAATGTTGTATTACTGACGCTGTTTTCGGATTTCTTCTTCTCTTTCCTGGTGGATCGCACATGTTTATTTTTATGTGGTAGGGGGAAACTTCGAACTCTTTGACCATAATTTTCTGTTAGCATCTCTTGTTGAATTTCATGTGAGTTGTGAAAGAACTGAATGATAGATATTAATCCAGACCTTGTTATAGAGGATGGATTTAAATTGTTTTGTGACATGAAAATGCATTTAGGTTTTGTCTTCAGATAGTCTTGGAAACTTACACTGAAGAAATTTTATTTATTTTCATCGGGATTGCTGTTACTCAAAAAGCATTCCATGTGTTTCAAGTTTTGTTTTTAATCATGAAAGAAAAAAAAAAAAAAAAAACTAATTATAGTTCATTATTTAAGGAAAAAAGTGGCCTCATTTGAAAACTCTAGAGAAGGATTTTTATCTATTTAAAGATCTTAAATTCAATATTTTGTCACAAGAATATACTAGTAACTATTTATATATGTGTGTATATATATATATTGCTGTATGTGCATGCATGTAGAAAAAATATATATATATCTGTATATGCATGTAAACACACACATGTTGCAATGATAATAAATTTAGGAAAAGAAAGTATGAAAGAATGTAGTAATCTATCAAAATCTTTTAAGTAATATATCAAAATAATTCTAAGATTAATATGTATGTTTTTACAAATATATAAAGCTTTAAATATGTGTGTACAAATTTCATACGCATATTGAGCTAGATTTTTCTGATAAATTCCATAAATTTCGAATTTGATAAACATTTCATCTCTACCTTTAAAAATCTGTTAGATTTTGACCACAGAATAAATAGTATTATTTGAAATAAACAGAAGCGAAATTTCCTTTTGTAGCCATATAGTTAAGCAGTTTTCCTTATACAGCTCTCTCTTGTAGGATTCTGTGATTTAAAAATTAATCAGTCTTATTAATTTATTTCTAAGAAATACAGATAAATCATTATAATGTAATTTTGTACTTAATATAATTAAAAGAATTATTGTGTTTAAAATAACGTGGACTTCTACTGTTGTCTTTTATAACGTTTGTTTTGAGGTTTATTTTCTCAATTTATATAAAAATGCTCAAGCCATTATATAAATACAGTACAAAGTCCGTAATCCGGACTCGTCGGGACTTCGGCGATTCTGGATTAGGGGTTTTTCCAGATTATAGATTATCAATTTAAATCTGGTTAAGATGGCATGCAGAAATTCTACGATTAAAAATATGAAACCGTAATTAATGAAATAAAGAGCAATTATGATCTAAAGGGTATCAAATTTTACAAAAAAAAAAAAAAAAAAAAAAAAAAAAGCTTAATATTTCTTCTTCTTCTACTTTGTGCAGCTTGGCTTTCCTTCGGCGCCTTGTACTCTTATGCGTTCGCACCGATCTTTTTTTTAAATTTAATTATGGACGCCTTCCCTCCACTCCAGAGAGAAAATATTTATTTGTTTACTTTATTAAATATTTCTTTCAATGCACGCATGCGGAATGTATGCACATTCTTTACATGCATGCGTAAAGCATACAAAAAAAAAAAAAAAATTTGGCCTTTGAGGTCTGGATTATAGATGATTCCAGATTACAGACTTTGTACTGTATATATAAATTTAAATAATAATAATAATGAAAATTTCTGTCTGCAGATTTTAAAAGCACAAATTTTAAAAGCAATTTATTTTCATCCAAGAAATGTGTATAAAAAATTTAATCTTTAATTAGTTCCAAAAAAATTTCAATCTTCAATTCAGTACTTTAAAAGCAAGTTTTTACATAATAAAAATATTTTTAAATTCATTCTCAATATTTTTTTATTGCAGTGTGTGTATGTTAATGTATGTACATTAAATACGAATTTCTTATCACATCTTGGCATGTTTGTAATGAAAATCACGACTCGGCATTGTTTTTCCATTTGCATTTTTATTGTAATACATATAGTTTAAATATCATGTAGGATAGCTATAGAATGAAACTTGGTGGGGAATTTTTTCCCCAAAATGCCTATTTATGAAAATATTTACATGAAAGCCTTGCTACATTCTTATTTCTTCTTAACAAAATATGAAACGTAAGTATTTTCAAAATTTGCTTTTAAAATATCATTTGTGAATATTTCAAATCATAAACTGCACTGCTTGAAAAATTTTTAAGTGTGTGTAAAAAAATAGTATTCTATAAGGTGTATTTCTTTTTCTAAAGCTGGTAACTCGGAAAAAAACTCAGAAAGTGTGCATTTTTAAAAATATGTAAAGTATGAATCATTTTCTTTAATTTTGTGTATAAAACTTGGATCACATTAACCAGGCTTTTAAAATATTTATAAAGTTAATTTGAAAATAAAGCTGCAAAAGATATTGTTTCATGAGATCTCTCAATGAAAATACCTGTATGCAGTGAAAAATTCAGATATGGATGCTTGTAATGCATAATTTTTAATGTTCTCTCTCGACTTAGGATAAGCAAAATCAAAAGTATGAAAAACATTATAAATGCTGCTGTTATATATAAATATGTAATATAAGATATAAATTATATTATATTATTAGTGTAAAGTTAATATATAATTCTGAGGATGTAGGAACTGGAATTTAATGCTTAAAATGGGAAGATTTTTAATACAATTATGTCTTGGTGTTATGTATCTTATATTAATACGTAATTTTTAAATGTGTTTCTATGTAAATAACTGTAGTATATATATTCAGCATAAATTAATAGTGATATGCAATGAATTTTGAGAGGAAAAATGTTGTTGTACCAATAAGCATTTTGTGTCTGAAATCAAACAAAATATTTTCATTTCCATGCAGTTATCTCCCCCCCTCCAATAAATTAGTTTTACTTTTGCCATACAATTATTAAAAACATTTTTGTGTGTATTTAAATTTTTAAATATTTGTAATTATGGTGTGGAGGCAATAAACTTTGAATCAATTCTTTCAAAATTTTATTGTCAAGTTCTTTTTGCATTGAACGGTCAGCATAGTACAGAAAAAGGAAAAAAAAAAAAAAAAAAGTAAATAAATGCTATGTAATATCAAGTAGATATCAGAGAAATTGGAAGAATAAAAAATAGTTATATTTGTTGATCATTTTTTATCTGATTCTTTTTACTTTACATAATTTGTAGTTTTTTAATATTTACACTTTTTAGTCTTGAAATAATGTTTCATATAAAATGAATTATTTTACTACTTAATTTATGACACATAAAATGAAATAATTTAACTGTGCCATGAAAAATATTAATAGCAAAAGATTATTTATTGCTTTCTAAAATGATTACTCTTAAAAATTCCTTAGCTTCTTTATGATGTAAATATGCTTGTGATCACTACATTTTTGTATTATTATGCTTCCCTGATTCTTCCCATGTGACAATATCTGGTGCTATATTTTTGCGTACAGAGAATCTTAGCAAAAGCAGTTCTCCATTTTAATAATACTGCTTCATTTTGGCATGCAGATAGGAAATAGGATATTGTAACTATTTATACATTTCATTCAACAATGTGATATATATAAATATATATATTGTGGTATAAGATATGAAATTGTTTTCGTGCATGATAAGTATTTAATTATTCTCAAGGAAGATTGTAAAAAATCTGTCAATAAAAAGTATTAGCAATTTTGTACATGTAGTTAATTGAATATTTAATGTGGAAAACCATGCTACATTCAATTCTTTCATTCAAAACATCATGTGTGTATAATACACATAAAATTTCTAAGCTGGACTTATTTAAATGTTCTTGAGTGAGTTATTTTGGGGAAGGCATGGATGTAGGTAAGATTAAGATTTCATGAATGTAAAATAATACACATGATTGAAGAAAATTTTTTTAAAAAAATGTACAATTCCACAGAAATGAATAAACATAATGATAATTAGACATTGAATAGTTTTATGCAAGAAACATTTTCAGACTGAATGTCTTCTAATTTATTGATTTTATGTTTTATAACATAGTTTGCACGCACAGTAATTTATAAGAATAATGGATCAGAAAAATTCAATGAAGGGAACACAAAATTTATATTTATGTCATACAAAGAGCTTTTTCTGTCCTAAGGTCTACTGCAGTAAGGTTGAATAAAGAATAAAAACACATCATCCAAAAACTTAATTTTCTTACAAAATACTCTATTCAATTAAATTAGGAAAGTTACATAATAGCATGTTAGTCCTGTTATCCAGCAAAAGAAACTAAAGAACTTATTTTAAAACTATTTTTAGTTATTCTTAGTACATATCCTCTGATTTTGGTGTCAAACAAAAATGGAAGTTTAACTGTGAAGGAGTTTACTTATGATAAAATAATGAGGATTTCTCAAAATAGGAATGCCATAAAATTAAGTAATATTTAAATGTGTATTCTTTCTTTGACTGCCAAAAAAAAAAGTATTAAAAGTAATGCTATTTTTATCTTCTATTCCAAAAGAAGAAGTAGGATTGTGTGAATGTTATGATATTGTAACATAATTAAGAATTAATAATTTGGAAGCAAAATATGAAATTTAATACATGTAATTGTGTAGTCTTACACTGTTCTCATTACATTAATTCATATGATGCAGCTAATTAAATTACTTACACCATTCAGTTAAAAAATGTAAGGCAAAACTTTTGACAATCATATATCTAAAGCTTTTTTAATTTTAGGTGTATTCATTTAGGCTATATACATATAATATTTAATTTGCATGATTATTTTATTTACATACATTTCCTCCAAACTTTTGTAGTATATGATTTAGAAACTTCTGGTTTATGATAACATATATTGTGTAAATAATATATAGATAAAATATATTGTGATAGATAAAATATATTGTGTAAATAATATATATATATATATGTTACCGGCACCGGCAAAGTTTGAAATCCGGCATTCTACAGAATACCTAGGCATTGTATATAATGCTTAAAACTAGAGAGCAATGTATGAAAAGATTCATATTTTACACATTTCCTAGGCATTCTATAGAATGCCAAATGAAAAACCTGCAAAGTATCAAAACACCTTTCTGATTTGTTTTGAAGAACAAAAACTGCTTTCTTAAAGTTAGTAAATGATGTAAAAAAGCCAAAATGACTACAAAAAAGAACAACGGGACTACTGGCTTCTCAATTACTACGATGTGATGTTTGTGGAAAACAAAAGTACATTCATTTACCATGTTAAAGAAAGTATCAGTACTATACAGTAGTGCACCACGGATGCTGAGTTATTTTCTGTATTTCATGAAAACTCATTTGAGTACTGATCAGGGATGATGTGATAGAATGTTAAATGAATTTCCTACCAAATACAAAAATGTTACATGCACTGATATTGAACTGTACAGCCACATTTGTGAGCCCTCCCAGAAAAAAAACAAAAACTGCATTAAAAAGGGCATTGATATGAAACTTACAATTTTTTTCTGAATTTAATTTCTGGTGTCGGGTAGATCTTACTGATTTCCACTCTTGGCCAGATAAAAAATACAAATTTATTATGTTGTAACAACATCATCTCACTATTTTTTTTTTCATATTTTGAATAAAAATTTTTAATAGCACTATTTCATTAATTTTTCAAAATAACATTTGTATTTTTGATGAATGAACATTTTTTAAATAACCTTTTTCCATAGTTTATCTAAAGAGCATTTGTCATTCTTTAGAATGCCTAGGTTTTATATACAATGCCTAGGGAAAGTATTCTCATATTTCATATATTGCCTAAAAATGTCCTGCATTATGTACAGTGGCTCTACAGGGTGATTCTAAATTGCTTTTACAAATGAAGAGGAGTGATAGTACCCATCCAGATGAGCAATAATTACCATAGAGTATAGGGTCGCATCCCACTTTGAGAGGCAGAAAAGAGGAATATTAGAATTCCAACCTGAACTGACAACAGTGTTAGAAAAGCGCCTGAACGAGACCAAAAGTTGCGCAATCAGAGTTATTGTTTTGTGAAAAACTCGCAGAAAGTGCTCAAAATGCCGACAACTAGCTCTTGCATTTTTTGTGTCCTGCATTGCTTTTTGAGATCCCCCCCCCAAAAAAAAGGGTTTTTCGCATTCTTCGATCAACACTGGAAAAAGTTGGATGACTAGGAATCCAACGAGTTGGAAATCACTTTTCAGACAATTATAATGCTTCACGTCCATTCTCTTTTGCTTCACGGTATGTGAGGTGAATGTCTGCCAATTCCTCATATGTGTACTCTGTCATAGCATTCACAAAAAGTTTCGGACGATGATGTTGTGCTGTTTTCAAGGACGCTCTTTCCTCTGATTGGCTTTCTCCGCTAAAAGCAAAATGCTGCTTCTTCTCGGTGCAAATTTGCATATAGATAATTCTTGATAGTCTCCTTGTTCTTCCTCACTGCATTTCTACTTTCCTTATTTCTGCCTCTCAGAGGGGAAAGTGACCCTATGTTCTATGATAATTATTGCTTGTCTGGATGTGTACTATCATTGTTCTTAATTTCTAAAAACAATTTAGAATCACCTTAGAATAGAATATTGGCATTTCATACTTTGCTGGTAACTGTTATAACTTTTATAAAATGTGAAGTACAGTTAAACCAGTATTTATATGTGTACTTTTTAATGTGATATATTCCTCTAAAACTCTAATAATCCTACACTGCTTAGTTTCCCCTCTCTATTTTTCAAGTACGTACGTGAATGAGTAAATAAAATATTTTTTCAGAACAGGCTTTTCATCATTTGAATTAAGAAAAGTTATTAAATATATTTTAATATTGTCATTCAGATATATTAAACAGATATAATACACAGTTTCATTTATTGCAGTATTTAGTTAGCTGAAAAATAAGAGATCAGTCATGAATAGGTACTTAGAAGCACTTTTGGTGTGAATGAATTCAGTCCTTTCAAAGTTGAAACTTTTTTTACCATTATCCATCCAACAAACATTATTAGTCTGCTAATAAAATTATATTACAACAGGTTAAAACCATTTAATTCTTATGGAAATCTTGATCTTCGCAGAACCATATTCATGTCTGAAAGTAACTCTATGTAAATATTATTATGATTAGCCCATTCATCATTGTTTCTCTTGGAACATTAAGGTTTCAGGGGACCTCATTTAAGAAACACTTGTAGAAAAGTTTAGTTTGAGTTGATATATATAATTTATGCCCATTGCTTTTATTCTGATCTTAATATGAGTTTGGCACTAGATGACGTTTCTTCCCATGCTGTTATTTTCTGATGCTGCACTGCAACGAAATTTATAATTCTTTCTTTCTGAATTCCTTTAACAGTAAATGCCAAACTTATTTCATTTGCTATCTGTCTCTGGTTTAAAAAATATCTTTATTTCTTCTTATATCATCAGTAGCTCTCTCTGTCTGTTAATTTTCACACATCACAGCTTTAATCCATTTTTATAACAATTATACTGTTGAGCTGCATATGTATTATGTAGAGAGGTGGGGCAAATTTATTAATACATATCAGAAACAATTATTTCAAATGGGAGTTTAAAAACTATGGTCTATATATTCATTTTGCAATTGATATAAAATTATATATAATAAATACTTCTGACTCTCCATGCTATATATAGACTTTACATTTATCACTGCATCATAAGCATTATTGTCATGTTGACCTGTACAACATAATTGTCATGTCTTTATAACTTAACCGTATGTAACATTGTTTAGAATGCGTTACACAACTACCCCAGTTCCTGCCTACTATGCAGTGCCATGTGGGATGATACAATTGATCAAAATCTTGCTTTATACTTTCAGCAATGTGTTTCTCTGTAGAATAAATCCGTATTGCTTGAGAAGCTGCATTCAGTGCAGCTCTTTGCATTTCCATGGGCATATCAGAAGCTTGAATTTTTATATCAGCTAAGTCATCTTCTGGAGGCATTGTAGAGGCTATTACACTAGATCGTCGACTGCGATCTCGGTGTGACGTATGATTTGGTTTTTTTGCACTGTAAAATTAAATGCCTGTTAAGTATTTGTCATGCATTATTAATAACAGTCTAGTTAAAGACTTGTTTATTCAGTCTAAAACACTTCAAATTGTATATATTTAAAGAAAAATTTATCATGATAATTCAAATTTGAGTAGTTAATCTTCAATTAAAAATAAGAGATATACTTAACTATTTTATGTCAACAGCATTGAGAAGTACATGGTATTTTTTTCATTATAAAAAAAATATTTAAAATATTTTTACTAACATTTCAGTTTTACATTGTTATTACCATATCAAAAATAGTAGATTAAAGTAGTTCTAATAATTAAAAATATATAGTGTTATAGAATGAAGTTTAAATATCAACATATATCGGATTTTAACAAAAGTTTCCCACCACCACAAATATCATCTATGCAAGTAGTTCACATTGGCTTGTTTAATCATTTTGTCAAACGATTTTTGATATTTGAAAGAAAGGTACTTGCTTTAGAACACTGTGTTGTGAAATTTTTAAGCAAATATCATTATTATAAAGTACAAAGTGTCTGAAATGGAACTATCACGCTACCAGATTAGAACCATCATTTACTTCCAGTTCTGTTGCAAAATGTCAGCTACAGAATGTCATCAAATCATGTGTACAGCTTAAGGTACTAATGTTGTATCATATGACACTGTGAAGGTTTGGTTCAAAAACAAGGACTATGGCATTCAAGAAGCAGAGTGCTCTGGCTGGCTTACTGATGTTGATGAGGCCTCCCTGTGAGAACTTGTAGAAGAAGATCAGTATGCAACTGCTTGAAAACTTTCTAGTTAGACATCAGTGCTATGTCCATTAGTCATGCTATGTGTTGCATAAATTTAACATACAAGTTCAATCACTGGGTACCACATCAGCTAACTCAAGCAGAAAGGACAGACGTGTTCGGGCCTGCACTAGTCTGCTCAAACATCAATGCAAGGTCAAAATTCTGGATTGGATCATCACTTGTGATGAAAAGAGGATTTTCTTCAACAACATAGGACGAAAAGGGGGTTAGTCTGTGCCCAGTGAGCTTTGACTAACTAAACTAACAAAAAGCTCATGCTTTGCATCTGGTGGGATTCCCGTAGTATTATCCATAAAGAGTATCTTGGAAAAGGTAAAACCCTCGACAGTAAGGTGTGCAGCAAGCAATGGCGTAGCGAGGGGGTGTATGATGCCCCAGGCACCGCTCGCAGAGGGGTGCCAAATGGTCTCCAAACAAGATTTCATCATATCGCTGTGTTTTTTTTTTCTGGGGGGGGCAGTTATGCTCGCTACTCCAGTGACAGCAAGGTACTAGTCCGTGTTGATGCTGCCATCAAGGAAAAATGTCAAACTGAGTTCTGGCGCAAAGAGGTAATGTTTCAAGATAATACAAGACCACATTCACTGGCTGAACTCTGTACGAACTGGAATGGGATCTTTTGCCATATAGTCCTGACATCGCTCCTTCAGACATCTACCATTTTTCACACTTGCAGCTACATCTTGCTAGTACTATTCTTCCATTCCACAGAGGACATCCAAAATGAAGTTAATCTGTTTTTGGACTAGCAGCCACCAAGTTTCTGGGCCGAAGGCTTTGAAAAACTACCAAAACAATGGCAGAAAATCATACATTTGGCAGGTGATTACTAGTCACACTAAAGCTACTGCTTTCATGTTCTTTTTTTTTCCCTAACTTTTGTATTTAAGAAAATTTTTTGAGGGGAAACTTTCATTACAAACATATATATATATATACGCACACATACTCAGTGTGTATACACCTAATTCTGTTTTTATGCAGTTGATAAGTTCCTGAAAAAATGAAACATATATAAAAAACAATGCATATGAAAAGTAAAACGTTCGTTCCATATGTGGAAATTTAATACAAATAGTATATTCTTCCTGTGTAAATTCTATCAAAATTTATAATGAAATATTTATTTGTAATAATATAGTTTAATTAAACATTTGTTTATTAAATTATGTTCTGTTAAAATAACAGAATTTTTTATACATTTCTAACATTTCACAAAATAAGAAGCTAGTTATTGAAGAAAACATCAAGAGAAATTCCTTGTAAATCAACACTGTCATATTTTTTCAAAGTATGTTTTGTGTGGGATTTCCATAAGTATATCTTCATATTAACTAAATTGCTAATACTCATTAATTGCCATTCATCATTAATTTAAATTGGCTTTCCCAAATACTGTTAAACCTAGCAGTTCAAAATAGGATTTAAAAAAATAAAAGAATTTTTTGTTGATTTTGAAGAATATAATGGAGAAAATGTGTGTTGTGTTATTATTTAGTCACATTAGTATATATTTTTTATTTTGAATTGTAAGTGAACAAAATATGTAACCAGTGCATTTCCAAAGTCAAAACCAATTTTAAAAAACCTGATTACAAATGGCATGTTCATTATAAAATTCTGACAAATTTTCCTTCAGCTGAAATATTTTCTATGAATTAATTAAATTGGAGACGTTTAAAAATGTGCTATTTGAATAGTGTTAAAACGAAATAACTTCCATTAAATAAAAGGCTGTTCCTTAAAAAAATCATAAATAAATAAAAAATAAAAACTTTTTGAAATCACACATATAAAAAAAATTTCTCTGTATTGTTATGTTAAATTTTCCTTTGAGAAATAAATATTAAAATAAAAGTATACCATGACTTCAATTATCATAATTATTTTTATATATCTTAGTACTTTCATTATCCTACAATAAGTCATGTATTTAAGACTCAAACTTATTCTGAAATAGTTGTCACATTTGTATTTAAAAAGAGAGAGAGATTTAGTAATAAATTATGTTTATTTTCTAACGTGATTAAGTATTTTATATTACGATAATATTTAGCTTTTAAATTAATCCTGTAGGTACATAAAATTCTTTGGACATAATGAATATTGCGGTGCATTTAAAATATCTAATTTTCACGTTTAAAATATCTAATGTACGCTGTAGATCTGTGTTCACTGTATTGTAGCAAAAATTGTAAAACAGCATCATTAGGAAAAATTACAGTTTGCAGTTTCTTGATCCAGTATTTTAACCTATAATTCTAAACTTCTCCAGAATTTAAAGTAATGTATTCATTTTTAAAGGAATTCCTTTTTCTCTTTCCAGTATCTTTCGGCCTTTAATAATAACAACAGTGGTAGTAATAAAAAGAAGAAAAAGAGATAATCAAATTATACTGTTAGATTATCTTATACCATTAATAAATGTTAGTATCTTGAAGCTTATTTCAAAATTAAACAAAACAAAAACTTGACATATATGACAGAGGATGTAATATCAGTTTATTGTGCAATTAAAGAAAAATTGTCAAAAATGGTTAATTCTTTATTATAAATTAGTACTTTTAAAATTTTATGTTAAATTGTTGCATATAAATAATAATAATATCATGAAGACTAAAAATAAGAACAAAAGATTGTTTTGATGCAATATATTGCATACTCTTTATACAGTTAAAAATTCTTTTGTAAATTAAATAGAGTTTTCTTCAAAATATTGCATTGAAATGCTGTTAACATACTATCAGAAAATAACTTTTTTTCTGTATGCTAAATATGTATGAACAATTAAAATAAGTACTGTACAAACTACTTACTAATCTATTATGAGAGATTTGGGGGCATAATCTTCAAGATCTTTGATAGATTCATTTCTTTCTGATGTATCACAGCTACCAGTTACATCTGAAATTATTATTTTGATTATAAGATATGCAGTTTTTTAATTTTTAATGAAAATTTTATATAACACGTAACTCACCTTTCTGAAATATATCTCTAGATCCATCTTTAGCTTTTTTGTAAAAGGATGCAACACAGACTACGCTGTAAATCTGTGTGGAAAAAAATAATCATTTATTTGGATCATACGTTTTGTAAATAAGTTGTTTGCAGTTGTGTGATAATAATTTAATTTTGGACATTTAAAGAAACTTACCCTCAGAACTGTAAGGAAACCAACAACTACGGAAACCAATATATCAGCATTGCCACAGCTTGACTGGTTACAAAGAAATTAAATTAAAATTTTATATTCTAATCTGCATGCTTAATTTAAAAGTATCACATTTTAAATAAAAATGAGTATATTTATGTATGGTATTGGAAAAGAAGCTCTAATATACACTTACTTTAATGGTTATCAGTCGAAGAGCTGTATATGCTGCCATTTGATCTGCTTCTGTGGTGGGATTTAAAGGTTTCAAAGCACTTGGATAAAATCGGTCCCTTCTTATATACTAAAAAATGAAAAGAACAAATTTATAGGAATTTTATTTTAAATAATAATTAAGTAAATTCAAATAATTATAAAGGAGTTTTATATACAGTACAAAGTCTGTAATCCGGGCGTCCATTATCCGGAATGATCTATAATCCGGACCTCAAAGCCACAAACTTTTTTTTTTGTACGCTTACCAATGCGCGTTTAATGTTTACGCATGCGCGTTTAGCACAAAAAACGATGCAACTTAAACAACTTGCATTGAAAGAAATGTTTAATAAAGTAAAAAAAATAAATATTAAGATTTTTTTTTATAAATTTTGATACCCTTTAGATCATAATTTCTCTTTATTTCATAAATTACGGTTTCATATTTTTAATTGTATAATTTCTGCATGCCATCTTACCAGATTTAAATTGATGATCTATAACCCGGAAAAACCCTTAATCCGGAATCGCCGAAGTCCCGACGAGTCCGGATTACGGACTTTATACTGTATATATATATATTTATTATTAAAATTTTAATAATGTATGCTAAAATAAAATTTATACTTATTATAATGAAATTTTTTAAAACTGTTTCCAAATACTTATTACTGCATCCTTTTTTTTTAATTTTTAAAAATTAGAGCAGTGTTTTCAAATTTTTTTGACTCACAGTCCTTTTTAGAATAAATTTCTATGGTGGATCTCCTGTTCCTTAACTCTATTGTACTTCTTATTATTTAACAGTGTTTTGGAGTAGTGTTAGGGGAAAGAAGAGAGAATAAATAGTAAAAGAATGTAAAATAAAGATATATCTAAACAATTGCAATGCCATTATTTTAAAAGCTTTTAAAATTTACCCTTATATCTCAGTCTATTCTTATCTGCCATAATATTGTCTAATATTCAGTACCCATAATATTTTCTGCCATAAAAAATTATAACTAAGTTTAATAAATCAAACCTTTTGCATTACAAAAGATTGATGTTTAACACTATAATTCAAACATCTTATTGCTGTGCATAAAATCTTGATTTATTAAAAAATACACCTTTATTTGACTTATCCACAAAAGATAGCTAAAGTAATAAAAATAAAGGCATTATAAATCAAGTCAAACGTCATCCTACAAAAGCTTCTACTAGGAGTTCTCCTACAAAAAGCAACAGTCACATGAATAGCCTTTTCTACTATTTCAGATACGAGAAGAGGTAATGTCCTATGGTATACAAAACATTCATTTTAATATCACTTCCTGTTAGAAATAATGCAAATTCATCACTTCTCCTCTGAGGGTGCATCGTCTGCTAGAAAAGATGTTAAACAAAACTGAACTAAAAAAATTCCCGTTCAGAATTTTATTTCTAATTTTCCATCTTTTATCTACATTTTGTTTTTATTTCTTAATTTCATCAATTTGTTATCAATTTTATTTTCTTGGTGTTACTGTGGAGCACCTGAAAAGTGCATGCAGAGCCGTATGGGTTCTGCAGAGCATATATTGGGAACCACTGAATTAGAGAAGGAATATTATAGTAAATGGAAAACAACAATAATTGTACCAATTAAAGCAATAAAATTACTGTATACATAAGAAATATTTTGGAGTGTAACTGTGTAATGCATGATTTGTGAATGAAGTAAGCAGTTTACCTTTCTCCCCTTCCTCCTTTTTGTTTTAAAATTATTGATTTAACACTATACGAAAACCAGTTTGCTTCCAGTTCATCTTTCTTGCCAAACTAAACATTGTTTCTGATTATAAATGAAAATCATATTTTTAAAGGAGGTTTTAGTTCATTCAAAGAAGGCTTGATTATATAAATTATTTTCAGAACTACAGTTATGTTTCAAAAAGAACTTTGTATAATCTGTGAATCCTAAAAATGTTAATGGGAAATTAACATCGTAAAGAAATTGGGGGGGGGGTTTACAATTGGCATAAAAATAGGTAATATATTTATTTGAATATTTTATTTCAATTAACAGTTTTGTACCAAAATTAAAGCAATTTTGTTAATGAAATAAGGATGATAATAAATAAGCATGTTTTTGATTGAGAATGTGATTTTTAATTATTGAAATGTCAAGATTAATTTGAATTTTTTTATTAATTTAAATACTGAAAAGCTTTTATTATGACACGTATGATGTATCGTTGGTACTTTTCATCAAGAAATTTTCTGAGAAATCAGCAATATATATGTTGTGTCATCATCTGATTCAAACAAGTGCTGCTTAAAAGTACAGTCAAAAGCCGTTAATTCGGACACCCATAATCCGGAATGATCTATAATCCGGACCTCAAAGCTACAAACTTTCTGCGCATGCGTCGCATTGACGCATGCGCGTAAGACCTTTACGGCTGAGAATATGCGTGTGCGCATGCGCAAAATACGTTTACGAATGCGCGTTTAATGTATAACGGAAGGTATAAGCTAAGCTAAAATTATCTAATTCAGTTAATGTTCCAGATTGCATTGTTCCTTAATCTTCGAATTGGCTTATTATTTTTTGCAGACTGTTAGAGCAATTTTATAAAAGTAAGCTTGAACTTTCGATTATGTCAAATAGAATTTCTGATATATACTTACTAATATGTAAAGGATCTACAAAGCGAAAGTATGTTTTGTAGTCCATTAAACAAAAAGTGGAATAGCTGCAAAAAATGAATAAAGGCATATCCTTTGTTTATCTAAACTTTAACGTTTGTTTATCTTTAACGCCGCGGCGCGCAATGAATTGGAAGTTGATCTGTCAGCACTATCCTTATCTTCAGGGCAGATGTTTTTATTTTATTTGGCTTATAATTTCTTACTAAATGTAGTATTTCATCTCGATGTACTCCGTCTTTGATATGATTTAAATCAAATTCCTCGTCATTATAATTCGCTTCCGATAGCGAAGAAAGTGACAGAGGTTATTGGAAACGAAAAAATTTCGATTGACAAACTAGTCGGTATTCTCGACACGGCAATTATAGGATTTGAACAGCGGAACTTTGTAACTGAACAAGAAATTATGTCTGCTTATAGAATTAAAGAGAATGTATTATCAGATAAAAAACGAAGCAACTTAAGAAATGTTTAATAAAGTAAACAAATAAATTATTAAAGAAATGTTTAATAAAGTAAACAAATATTAAGTTTTGTTGTGTGAATTTTGATACCCTTTAGATCATAATTGTTATTTATTTCATAAATTACGGTTTCATATTTTTAATTTTATAATTTCTGCATGCAATCTTACCAGATATAAACTGATGATCTATAATCCGGAAAAATCGATAATCCGGAATCGCCGAAGTACCGACGAGTCCGGATTAACGACTTTTGACTGTATTACATTTCATCTTACAAATCTCACCACTTAACTCTCACTTTTCGATATAAGCAGACGAGAGTATAAATCTTAAGGACTGTTTTCAGATAAGACTTTGGTTTCATAAACCAAGTTTTCCATGTAATAATTATATGTATAATATTTTTCACTATAATCCTTTTTTAACTTCATAGACCGATTCCTGAATATCAGTCTTTATTTTATTTTCCTAATTGAACTTCAACACTATTTGAAAATTTATTGTGAGTGCTGTTTTTATTTACTGTAAAAAACATACAAAATATTTTATTGGAAAAGAAAATTAACGGAAAGAAATTTTGTGAATGGGTGTAAAATATTATGCTGCTTAGAAAATTAAAAATATAACTCTAATGAATCTAATCTCAGTTTCACTTGACATCTTATGACCAACTATTTAATCTCACATTGAATTTTAAACATGCGGAGAAAATAGTTTGCTTAATAGAAATAAAAGATTGTATTTTTTTCGCTATAGAATATTTGTTAATCCTTGGAATTTTGATTCCTACAAATTATATAACTTCAAAACACTATTGTTTTTTTTTATTATTATTATTATCAATTCATCTTGCAGTACTCTTTCATATTTAACTGCAGCTGTGGTTGTTTAAGCTACTAAAAATTATTGTTTAATTACTTTCATTCCCTTCTTAGTTGCACAATTTTAAATATTTGAATATTATTTATGAAAATAAATCCCTTTTGTTGATTTAGCATTAAACAAGCCAAATTAATTATCAGAATATTTTAAAATAAATATGGATTTACTGATACTGATTCCCTATTTTATGTATTACTGATTTCCACTTTAGGTTAATTCATAAAAATGACTCAAAAGAAAATAGATTCTTTAAAATATTGCTGTTTAATAAGTTTTGGATATGAAGTGATTAATTTTAATTATGATTCACTCTCTCTCTGCTCTACACAGATCTTAATCAAATAATATTTATCATAAATGTATTGTCAGCCACTTAAAATGTTAAGCTAAACATTTAAATATCAATAAAATAATACTTATATATATTCAGCTAATCACAAAAAAAAAAAAAAAAAAAAAAAAAAAAAAAGCCAATTTTTATGTTAAAAGTAATTTAAACTAACTAAATAAATGCTGTCATAAATTAATTCTTCCTCTCAAGAAATATTCAGTAAAACAGTTTCCTTTTTGTGTCAAACTTTATTAAGAAATATTTTTAGTACTTCCTTGTTAAAGTGGCTGTACTAAAATTGGCAAACTTAATTGTTCTAATTGTAAAGTGTAAATTTCGAATGTCATGAAAAGATTATGCAGCTTTGCCAGAGAAGGATAGTTTTTTTTTTTTTTTTAATTATAATTATATGCCATCTGGTGATAATACTATATAATGTTTCAAAGACTGTAGACTTTCCATTAATGACATGTATTTCTATTCTTAGGTTGTCTGCATTTACATTTTCTCATTCTGTCCTGTATTTTGTCTTCTGTTCTCATACCCTTAATTTTAGTAACTTGGCTGAATCGAAACATTTTGCAGACATACCAATTTTTTCTTCGTTAGTAAAATTTCTGACAAATGCATGTGTCAGAAATTAATCTGCTGAATTAATTTATATTTAATTCTTTCATAAAATGTTAAAAATTACCTAATTACACTCCTTAGATTTTTCTCTTGTCTTATTAAAAAGATATTTGTTCTTTTGTCAAATTTATTATTGGTTTATAATTATAATTGGAATTAATTGTTTATAAAATTGGTAATAACCAGTAATAAGTAAACCTTAAATGCAATTAAAATAATCTTTATTACAATAATACTTACCATAATAAGTCTAAGAAGGACAAATCCTGTGCTAGCTGCTATATCCACTGCTGCAAATACTGCCAGCAACAATACCGTTCTGAGTGAAACACTTCCCTATAAAAAAAATAATAAATAAATATTATCATTACTGTTATTTGTTATCTCTGTCAATCCAAGAGACGTATGTGCCTTTTATATCTTCCATTTGCAAACCATATTAAAAATAACTTATTTTAAGTTTGTTAGTAATTATGTTTCCATATTATATGGTTAATATGATTAATTCCATATTATATGGTTTCCATATTATATGGTTATTGTTTAAATGTTTTGTAATGTATTTTTTACTCCAAAAGCAATGTTGATTTATGTTATGAGCAAAAAGGTCCGGTGATTTTTCAAATACAGTAGATTCATTATTTGGCTGATTGCTGGTATAATTTGTCACTGATTTGAACTACCTCATTTACTCTTTTATTACAGTCCTCATTGTATACACTGACCTGGATCACGTAGAACGTCTCGAGATTAATCTCTTTGCAACTTATGGACACATGAAGAGATTACGTTACGCGAGAACTCGCCTTTTTCGAACATAGCATGTAATGCAGGATTCAAAGGTTCTTTTTAAAATAACTTCATTTATTTATATAACACGGATACTCCGAAACGTACGATGGGATGACTATGACGACAAATAAGATGAGACCTTTCTTCCAAATAACAAATTAATTCTTAAATCTTAAAAGGACGAATTTAAAAATTCTTAAGAGGACGAATAAATTCTTAAATAAATGTAATCTTTCATATACTTCATAGTTAAAAGCCAATTTGCCTTATTTCTAAGATTCGAGAAAATCGCTCAGTATCTCTTCAGCGACCTGCCATTGTCCTGAAAACTAGTAATTAATCCCACTGATAACGGACTTTAATATACTCAGTAATTTAAAAATGTTACCGGCAATGTATGAAATCCGACATTCTGTAGAATACTCAGGCATTTTATAGAATACTGAAAACTGGCCAGCAATGTATTGAAACGATTCACAAACTGGCAAAGTGTGAAATAAATCTCCGATTCGTGTCGAATAATCGAAACTATTTACAATAATTTAATAAATGATGTAAAAAAGGCCAAAATGACTACTTAGAAGAAACCACGAGACTACTGGTTGCTGGAATCACTGTGATGTGATGTGATGTTTGTGAAAAACGAAAGTAAATTACACTGCTAGTGTAGTAGTATACAGTATAACGAGTATAACGTCCCGGACACTGATTTATTTCACATACTACATCATGAAACTCATTTGGCTATTCGATACGGAGGATGTGACAGAATGTTGAAAGAACTTTCAGTCGAATACAAAAACGTTACATGGAATGATATTGAACTGTACATCCAACTTTGTGAGCTATGCCAAATAAAAAAAAGTATTTAAAAGGGCATTATTTTGAAACATATGATATTTTCCGAATTTAATTCCCGTTGTCAGGTAGATCTAACTGGTTTCCATTCTCAGCCTGATAGAAAATACACATTTAATACGGTGTACCAAAATCATCTTATTTAATTTTTTTTTTCATATTTTGAATAAAAGTTTTTTAATGGCAGTATTCCATAATAATAACAGTTGAAAATAACAGTTGTGTTTTTGAGAATAAACGTCTTTTAAATAATAGCCTTATAGTGAACTTTTTTAATACTTTGCCTAAAGAGTATTTGTCGTTCTATAGAATGCCTAAGTATTATATAGAATGCCTAGGTATGCATTTAATAATTCTCATATTTCATTCTTAGCCTAAAAATGGCAGGCTTTCTCTAAAATGCCTAGGTATTCTGTAAAAGAATGCCGGCGTTTCATGTGAGCAGTAGCAGTATTATTCCGTTTTTGGGGGTGGAATTGTAGTAATTTGTTTACGAATAAAAGAAAGTCCAAAGAAGTTTCGAATCTTCGTGATTGCTTTTCTCAAAATTCTGAAACTGGTCATGCCTTTAATAAACAACATGCTGCCTCGATGTAAACTAAATAAGAATCAACCTGTTTACACAATTTCGTAGATGTTGGGAGGCACGTAGGTTCAAAAGAAGAAGCGTTTAGTATACCAGCTTGGAAATGTAGAAGCATTAGAAGAAAGACATTAAAAATTATTAATATCAAAGATGGAAATAAAACTTCTTTTGTTGTTAACCGTATTCTGCTTCCACCTCAAAAACTATTTCTATAAACTTCGTTATAAATTAAAAATATTAGCACGTGTTAACGGCCAGCCGCCTAAAACAGTTAGCATGAAAAAGAAAAAAAGTATGTAATAATTTTAGCTAGCGTAATTTCACGGTTTCAATTGCTAATAATAATAATAATAATAATAATAGAGATGAAGAACTGCGTTTATTGCTTTTAAATCGCTTGATTTATTAATCAACTAGAAAGCCTGGCGGTCATACGAAATGACCGCTGTTTTAGATATTATAAATTGTAATTAAAAGGATTTGTGCAAAGGTGTCTGCTAAATTAAATTGAATTACCCAAGGCAGGCGGCAAGGACGCCCCTTTGCTTACTGTCCCACGGGGTTTCCCCTTTCTACTTGCTTAATTGATTAGAGTGCAATAAAGGAAACCACTGCTGGTGCATTTCTTAAGAGCCACCGCTAGCTCAATCAATAAAGACGATTTAAATAATAAAATGTTACTTCACATGTCAAAGATCTCTTTGTGCTTTCACAGTTGTTAAGAGATAGCTTTGGTAGCTGTCAGAATCAAATTTAGGAATTTTTTTTTTTTTTTTTTTTTTTTTTGTTTGTTTGTTTTAATAACACTGATGAGGAAAATATGACTAAAAATTTAGAAACCAAACTTGCAAAGAAAAGGGAAATGAGACCATTAGAGGATAAAAACCTAGTTTTTGAAGCAAAAGACCTGAATCGTTTCGTTACAAACACAACATTTCTTGTGTAGATCTTTCCATCATTTTTAAGCTCGCCTTGCAGAGGACCATCCATTATTTTTAATTTTACATCCGTTCTTTCACGAACTCTTGAACAGGCAACATAAAGTTTTCCGTGTGCAAATGCAGGCTCAGATAAAAAAAAAAAAAAAAAAAAAAAAAAAAATGCAACACGCTTAAGCGTTTGGCCCTGAGACTTATTGATGGTCATAGCAAAGGCAAGTTTTACGGGAAATTGTCTACGTCTCAATTGAAACGGCAAACCTGTGCCGTGACAACTTAACCCCATTGGCTAGTACAGTTACGCAAGCAAGCAATAAACTATCGGCGAAAAACAGACACTTAAGCCGCATGTATATATGAGGTGAAGTAACATCATCTCCTCCGAAACGGCTATCTTCCGGGCCTAGCGAAGCACACCGTTGGATTGCGCAGGTCTGTGGCACGCCATTTTGACCATTCGCGTTTTGTTGGGACTTTAATTAGCCGAGATATTAAATAAAAACTAATTTTTCCCTACGTTTTCCCTACATTTTCCAATTTTTTCCTTGGGTTTTCCCTATTAGAGGGATTTGGCTCCGTGTCAAATTCTTTTTCTCGAATATCTACGGAACGGCGCCGAGTTGAAATTCAAGACGCGTATCCTCGGATTCCAAAAAATTCTCCGAATCCATCGATACCGTTCTTATCTTCGTACGATTTTAATCGGCCGATATATTAATTAAAAATTTCGGAAATGTTAATTTCCGAGTGGCAACAATAAACTATCGGCGACACACATTTAAGTCGCTTATATATATAAAGAAGATAACAGGCAGATTAAATTTGAAAGAAAAATAACATACGCTTTGCTGAATGGTGCGCTGAAAATAAAAATACACTGCTGGCCGTCAAATAATTTAGTATCATCAGCAATGCAAGGTCGTCACACAAATAAATGTGTGAATATTGTGTGACGTTCAGCATTCGAGTCAGAATATCAACGTATATGTAAGATAAGACTATGTAAACATAATTCGAACTTTAATTTACTATAGTCCCTTAAGTCTCCATTTTAGATTGATTATTTCCTCTTTCTATAATAAAAAGAGTAACATGATTATAACAAATCTCTCTAAACTGCATCATTTCAAAATTAATCATTCTCACATTATTCTTACATAACGCTGATGTCGCAGGTACTTACATAATGTTTCAACCAATAATATTAGAATTAGCATTTTGAAAATTAAGCCATTAGAATAAAAACGAACTAAAACTGTATTATTCTAAATGTAAAAAAAGGGTCATGGAAAAGTGGAAAATCTTCACTTCCATTCAGTTAATAAAAGCAAAGAAGCCATAATAGAAACTAGTGTATTACATCATTTGCAATAATTATAAGAATAATTACAGAGTTTATATATACATATATATATATATTAATTAGGGTGTTTCATTTTGTAAGGCAAAAAAATAAAGTAAAATTTTTGAAGACTGCTTACTCCCCAAGTCTCACGGATGTAAAAGATATATATATGCGAAATTTTAAGATTGGATAATACTTAGAATTTGCACACTTTGATCAGTTTTATAAAAGTATGCAAAAATTACGATTTTCCGATGTTAATTACTTTTATTAGGAAAATTAGAAATCAGTACCCTAAAATAATATTAAAACTAGAAACTAAGATTAATAAGTAGTGTGAAAGGCAAAATATGTGTTCAATTAAATCAATTTTAAATTAATCAATTTTGCAATCCCTCCTTTTGTTTTCTTCGTGAAAACTTTTCTGTGATTCTCGACTACCCTCAACAAGCATTGTTTTTGTTGTTCGTCTCTGACCGCTTATTTAAACTTTTTTTTTATAAAAGTAGTTCCTTTTTCTGCGGTATCACTGACCACCTTAAGAGCGTTCACATGGCTTCTTAGAGAATCACTAGAGTATTCTGTCACGTCGTAAATCTCAAAGAATTCAACGTCTTTGTTATATTAGTAACGAAACGATTCAGGTCTTTTGCTTCAAAAACTAGGTTTTTATCCTCTAATGGTCTCATTTCCCTTTTCTTTGCAAGTTTGGTTTCTAAATTTTTAGTCATATTTTCCTCATCAGTGTTATTAAAAAAAAAAAAAAAAAAAAAAAAAAAAAAAAAAAAAAAAAAAAATTCCTAAATTTGATTCTGACAGCTACCAAAGCTATCTCTTAACAACTGTGAAAGCACATTTTTAACGTCCACATCTGGGTAAGTGCTCAGAAGCTGTAGCATATCCAAAGCATTCTTTGGAGCCCATCGTCTTAAAACTGCTTTGTGCCAAAAGCGAGCATATTATGAGGCTGACAAAATATGCAACCTATTTTATTCCTTTCAATTCTCGTTGAGGAATGTTCAGTTATTTAGTGAAGAGGCCAATTTAAGTGCATCTATTGTCTTTGCCATGCAGTTTGCTTGATGCAGAGCTTCTGGGTTCCTGACATTTGAAGACATTTTGAGACCAACCTCCTAGGTACAGGAGTGAGAGTCGTAATAACTCTCTGTAATCTTCTCTTGGATGACTTCCGCCTTTTAGGACATTTTGGATATATTTAATCTTTTTCACTCATTGTTCTTCTAGAAAGCCTTGAACAGGACTTTGTTGTGTAATGAAATCACAAAATATTAAACCACTTACCCCTCTGCTAACCTGGTTGATCGCAAAAGCCATCCACCACCAACTGCAGATGTAAATGCCCACAAACACGACGCTCAGGATCAGAGTCGTTCGGGATGATCTCAGTTCGGCTGCAAGAAATGAGATCTAACGTAAGTTTCAGTTAAACATAATTTAAGCTCTGCAAGTACTTTCATATTTAACACGTACAATGCAATCGAAAAATAAACTTCCTTGCTTACACGGTTACTTATTTACATAGGAATATAAATTCCTTGAAGAAATTGTTATCTGGTTTTTGCATACATATTTAAACAAAATTTCTTCTTAATATATGGCAACATATGAATGAAAATAACTCTAATAATAGCAGTATTGATGCATCAAATAGTCAATAGTGATAAACTCCTACAATTTATGAAGTATTGATGGGTTCCTAATATGAAATCAGAAACATTCATAAAATTATTGTTTCTCAGAAAATATGTAGAAATCGCAGTTTGGCAATATTATAACTCCCCAAAATATATTTTTGTAAAATACGAATTGTAATCCAAATTGAGTAACTCCTGTACCAATATTCTGTTTATCAGAAATAAATCTAATAAAAAGATTCAATAAATCGTGAATGAGAAGAGTAGTCTAGATTTTGAAAAAAAGTGATAAAAAATAGATTTTTTTTTTTTTTTCTGACAAAATTCCTAGAAATTCAATAAAGGCTAGAAATGGAAGAGAAACAAGTAAAACTTAAAATAAACTTAAAATTAGGGGGGAAAAAAAGGGCAAGCTCCCAGTGTAAAACTTAAAATTAGGGGGGGGAAGGGCAAGCTTTTAAATATTTTTTGCTTCTGAAGGAAAAGGAATTCAAAATTCATAGAATTTACTCCAAATCTATATAAGTATCCATACTTAAAGTAAGTTTGCTTTTTTGCCTAATTTTAAATTCCATAACAACTCTAAAATTAAAATATGTATTCCATTTGTAGATATAAATAAAATTTTCCCCTAATTTCACGGATTTATAACACACTATTCTTAATAAAGTTTTCAATGGTTTATTAAAAAATTACCTCCGTGCCGACTTTGCATGTGGTTCAATAGCCATATTTAGAATTTCTCTGATTATCTGAAATAATCGAAAAAGATTAGAGGGTCCACCAGTGGCCCCAAGTGGCGAAGTCGCTAAACATTCGTAGTTCGATCCGATTTTCGAATGGGCTGGCTGCATGGGCATTTTCGTGGTTTCCCTTAGTAGGTTTTTAATTCGAGCGCTTTGCCATAGTTAAATAAAACAAACCCAAACTGAAAAAGATGAAAGTAAGCCCACAAACTTTATGTGCATCCTTTCTTCATAAACAACTGGCGACCTCAAAATTAACATTCTAGATTTGGTGCTCTCATCCTAAATTCATCTGTTCTCCCAAATTCGAGATCTTTCCATGTTATATAACTCTACTTAAAAAGGCAACTAAAACTAAAATTAACCGATCACAGATTAGCTATACTTATACATCAAACCTAGTATAAATACCGCTGGTGAATTAATTACGTCATTCCGTGACCTGTGCCTTATGACTTACTACTAATTTCTCCAGCTTTTAATGCTTTTCTGAGACTTTGTACATATGTAAATAGTGAATTATCTAATCAAGAACTTTATGTTTTATTATTTTGCATATAATCTTATATTCTCTCTTGTATTTTGTATTTTATCGTATTTCCAACATAATGAACTGCACCATTCAGACGTTATCTCTTGCTCACGTGACGTCGGTCTCCCCCCCCCTTCTACACTTTAGCTATTCTGCATCGCCCAGCTCATGCATTTCTTTACTTTCAGCGCTCCTCGTAGCAACTACATTATGACTGCCGGAACACAGCACGTAATTCTACGTGCTAATCGCGGCATAAAGTGGAACATGGAACAAATTACGTCATTCTTTTGCTAGCTTCTACCTTGCTAACATTTTCGCACTGCTTCGCTTCTTAAATGCCTACGACATTTCTTCTAAAAAACCAATGTACATAAAAATGTATCGTATTTAATTATGCTTGAATACGTGTCTGCCAAATTAATTGGATATGTGCAAAAATAAAGATTGGTGATTTGTCGGAATCCAGTTTCTTCATCTTCGTCTCGTCTTGTCACTCTGCCATCACGACTACGCATAAAAACTGATTACATATATATATGTTGCGCCTATATTATATATATATATATTTTGCGCCTATATTATATATATTGCGCCTTTTTTTTCTTCTTTTTTTTTTCTTAATTTTGGTTTTTAATTTGCTTTTTTTTTTTTTTTTTTTCCTTTTAATTTGCTTTTTTACTTTTATACGTGTTTGTTAAAACTTAAATTTAAATTTATATTGCGCCTTATATACCCCTAATGTATTGATAATCACTCCTTTATAACCTGATGTAAACGTGTATGTGGTGTGTTGTAAGTAAGTTTATAATATGTTAAAAATTATAATGTTTAGAAGTTATATTTCTAAAATTGAATTTTCTTCAATCATGGTTTAATTGAATTAATTACTTAAATAATATTCAGTTGTATTTCCTGCAATGTTTTTTTTTCCAATACTTGCTTTTTATTTCTCAAACTTGTAATTTTATTTCTTCTCTTCCTGGCTAAAATTATAAGATACTTTCATTCGGTTAAATTATGTTTTCTGTTTTTGTTAAATGTCTAATCCCTTATAGTTATTTATCAAAGCATAATAAACAATAGTAATAATAATAACGAAAAGGAAAAAAAATTCAAATTTATATTTGTTTTCTATCTGAAATCTAAATTTTGGAACCTGCGAGAAATTTCTCCTGGTTACACTTCACTGTTCAAATTTATTGACAGCTAAATGTTAAATTTTCAGACTGATGTTTATTTAAAAATAATTCTAATATGTTGAATAACGAAAAGTAAAAATGTTTTACGAAATAATCTTCTTAGACATTTATTCAATCATAGCTAAATACGATACTTTTTATTTACACTGGTTTTAAAAGCAAGACGTAGGCATCTTAGACTGAGAAGCAAAGCAGCGTGGATGTCAGCATGGCGGAAGGTAGGAAAAGGAATGACGTAGTTGTTTTGCAAAGCAGTATTTATGCCGAGTAAATGCATAAGTATATCTAAGCTGCTATTGGTTAATTTTAGGTTGTTATGTAACACGGAAAGATGTCGAATTTGGGAGAACAGATGAATTTAGGGGGGAGAACATGAAATCTAGAATAGTTAATTTTGAGGTCGCCAATCGTTTCTTAAAGCACCCATCGTATTTTGTTATATCTTACACACACACACACACACACATATATATATTATTATATAACCGCTTAGAAAATTCTGGACTAGTGGATATTATACACTTTAATACAATAACTAACAAAAGCTTATAAATATTTTAAGCCACGCAGTCTCAGAAACAGAATGCAAAGTCGTTGCTCCGCGTTTCTTGTAGGAGTTGAGCTGGCAAAGTGCAGAATAGAATCTTAACCTGTTCCGGATTCATCATAAAGTTTACGAGGTGTGATCAATGTGCATTAAATCGTCACCTTAAGAGCAGTCTTTAGTATTAAATCATGCTGTTCTCAGAGAATAACATACAATAACATGCACTTTTATAGCACGATAAAGTTAAGCAAGCTCTTCATATCAAGTAATCACAGCATGTAAATCAGTATTATTCTCTCATAATACGATATGACTAGAGACAGCATGACCTCTCGTCATATCGTGATGCTCGCAACCCCTCAAGACCTGGAATTGGAACTTCTAATCCCATTCATGCTTTCCGTAGCGTTTTTCATCATTATGTTTGAAGAGTCATTGTGGTGAAAACTACTACTACCTGATATATATCAGGGGAAAAAGGGGGAAGAAAAAAAAGTAAAAAGAAGATTATTTATTCAGCAAGCACTGTCCACAGCCTTATTAAAACACCTTATTATTACCACAACCTTATTATTTCTTCATATAAGAAAGTAAAAGTCATATGGTGATTAACAGAAAAATATTCTGAGTAATTTACCTGCATTTTTAAGCATTTAAATTTGGTAAATAGTTTCGGTGGTTATATAAATTTAATCACCACTTAAAACAACAAACTTCAAACAAAATGAAGAGCATTTCCATTTATATATTTCGATGGGAATTAATGAAAAACAGAAGATTAGTAGTTGTACGTTTACTTTATATTTACGATTTAACAATTTAATTTTGGAGCAAGATTTATCAGTATTTATATATTCCAGATTTTATGTAAATGAATTTCGTATTGTTATGAATAGTAATAGCTTCTAAATATTGTTAAATCAACTGCTATCACTGCTGTTATCGTAAGCAATATCATCTCCTTTTCGTATTTTCCGTAGAAATTTTGCTTTATTCGAAGACTTTTGATAGACAAGAAGAAGTGGCGGGATACCAAAATTTTAAGATGGGCTGTAAGTATAGTTTCACTGCACTAAGTGTACAGCTGCGCTCCAAATTTTAAGATGGGCTGTAAGTATAGTTTCACTGCACTAAGTGTACAGCTGCGCTCCAAATTTTAAGATGGGCTGTAAGTATAGTTTCACTGCACTAAGTGTACAGCTGCGCTCCAAATTTTAAGATGGGCTGTAAGTATAGTTTCACTGCACTAAGTGTACAGCTGCGCTCCAAATTTTAAGAGGGCTGTAAGTATAGTTTCTGCACTAAGTGTACAGCTGCGCTCCAAATTTTAAGATGGGCTGTAAGTATAGTTTCACTGCACTAAGTGTACAGCTGCGCTCCAAATTTTAAGATGGGCTGTAAGTATAGTTTCACTGCACTAAGTGTACAGCTGCGCTCCAAATTTTAAGATGGGCTGTAAGTATAGTTTCACTGCACTAAGTGTACAGCTGCGCTCCAAATTTTAAGATGGGCTGTAAGTATAGTTTCACTGCACTAAGTGTACAGCTGCGCTCCAAATTTTAAGATGGGCTGTAAGTATAGTTTCACTGCACTAAGTGTACAGCTGCGCTCCAATTTTAAGATGGGCTGTAAGTATAGTTTCACTGCACTAAGTGTACAGCTGCGCTCCAAATTTTAAGATGGGCTGTAAGTATAGTTTCACTGCACTAAGTGTACAGCTGCGCTCCAAA